TTCATACCTGCCCTGTGTTTGCTCCGTCTTGAAATGAGGATAAGCTTGAATTCTGACAATTCCTCCGGTGTCCAGCTGGAACTTAATCCATTCTCATCTTCTTCCTCAAAAATCATCTTACAGGCTCTGATGCTGACGTAACCCTGGATGATAGGAACCGTCCAATGACCAGCTAAATCCTTGTCCTGTTTCCATGGAAACCAAGAGTTAGAAAAAGTTTTGCTATTAAAGCAATGTTCGTGGAAAGCACCTGCATTTGGATCAAGAGACAACAAACTGCAAATTGAATATTCATTTATACAAATGCAAATAGGAGAAGCGTGAGCGAAGTCTTTGAATTTGTCTCATATCATTCTTAGAAATTCCCAAACAGTCTTCAAGTCTTTAACTATTTCTTACCTGGTTGTTAACTTTGCAAACCAAATTCTAAAATTCTGATATTTCCACTTGTTTCCTTTACTATTTAGGTAAGTCGGGTTCTTTCTGCAAAAAATTTCTTAAGTTTATCTTTCAGTGTAAAAATCCCAATTCCTGTCCAATTAACCATGCTTCTTGTTAGCAACATGATGTTGCAAAAATTAAAATGCTACATGAAAAATCTCTACAGATTAATTTACAAATCAAAATATGGCAACACAAACACACATACTACCATACATACACGTATGCAAGGCTGCCACACAAAGGGACTAAAATGTCGACAATTCAAAAGGTTTTGCGTCTTTACTAGCACTGAACGTCTGTTTGTCTATGCGACAGATGTTTGTCTCCCTGGCTCAAAATCTGTGAGTCAAATTATTCCATTCCATCTCTCTTACTTGTTCTATGTACCCACTGAGGAAATATTCTCAGGATAATAACCACAGATGCTGACCTTTTATTTAATATTGAATTCATTGGGGAAAGGGGATTATTAAGTTACAGTGAATTTAGAGCTATTGTTTGTTATTTCTTATAGGTCAGATGTGTTGTATTAGCCAAAGCCAGCAGATCAGGATAAAAGGTGCAAATATATCTGTTGCTTTTGCCTTTTGTCGTCGAATGTAGTGCATATAATGCTAATATTTCACAAATGCTGACTAAATTTATTAAGAAGTGAGTATATAGCACTGTTTGATATTACAGGTTCTCTTTTCAGGGTAATCTGAAGGCTGTTTTAGGTCTACACACTTTTTAAATAACCTCATTCTTTTTATAACACCTGGATTGTGCAGTTGTTATACTGACCGTGCAGGCAAAGATATCTTGAAGCATGTGTTGATTCCAAAAAAATCGCTCATCCCAGTCATGTTTCGTTTCTCCTGTGTGTTGTCGCTGTAAAGTGTTGGTCAGGTCACCAGTCCGGGTGTAGTAAAACCACTCTGTTACAAAAAAAAAAGAGTGTCAAATGCTAACATCCCAGGATTTTTATAAAAAACTTGGTCACTTTACAGCATCCAAAAAAAGTGATGTGTCAGTGTTCGGCTTGACAAACTCTCTCTATAACAGTACGTGTTCAGTCAACCAGTTGCCTGGTAACATTAGTATGACAAATCACCTGCGGCAACCAAACCTGAAACCAACCTGAATCAGTAAACATCTTGAGCAGTTCCTCCGTGATTCGTCTCTCATGTTTCTCTCTCTCTTTGACCTCTTTCTGGGAAGGCAAAGACAAAAACGAGGCAAACATGTGATGAACTCTACCATGGCAACAAATAGTTTGTGTTCATGGTTGTTGAGATGGGCACATTAATGTAAACATGACTTAATAACACATCGCAAAGCAGCTCAATCAAAATTCAAGTGGCAGCAATTTGAATGAATCATTCATTTATTTGAGTTGAGGGTACAGAATATTTTTTATTCATGTACCATACTTGACATATTACAGGTACATGTATGCATATTAGAATGCCCTTAACTGAACAGCAGTGCCTCGGTACAATTTCACGTCCCAGTGCCTTCTCTCAGTCTGTCACTTTATCTATCATCCCATCTGACATCTCTTACCTTTCTGACTTGAGTGACGGCTTTGATGCTATTCCAGGTCTTAGTCAGAGCTTTCTGTTGAGCTGTTGCTGGTTTCATTATCATCTTGGTTTTCTTCATCCCAAAATGATGCTTGGAACATCTCTGTGTTAACGAACACCAGCAAATAAAAGAGAAGGATTTTGACAAAATAATCATCCAACTTGCATCTCACTCTCAAAAATATCCCAGAGCCTCTCCCCTTGTGTTAGTCTCCTGTCAAGCATATAAAACCTACACCTGTTCTTGAATTCCTTCCAACAGAAAATAGTTAGCACACAAGAAAACTGAATGCATATGAGCTCAAACATTCTTCCTTGTCCATCGCACAAATTCAGCAATCTCAAACATGTACTGTTTATTATTTATACATGTTTACAGTAAACAAATGTTTCATTGCGAAGCAATTTTACAGGGTCAAGCAACCTGGCTGGGCAGCGATTGGATATTTTATCAAATTCAATCTATTGCCTATTTGATTCTAGCCTGGGTCTTTAGTGTGAGCACAGGCATGCACAATGTACATGTAGGTCAAATACATGTACCAGGCTATGTACATGTATCAATGAAGCAGCAAATCTGCCAACAGAGAAAGACTTGAATTACTGACGTCAGTAAACTTCATCTACAAGAGTCTGGCCACGATCTCCGAGTGAGGTTAAAAGCAGGCTTCCCTGACTCGTCCCCATCATAACAGGCCCACAAATCAGTCTCAATTTGTCAAAGGGGACAAACTAATCAGGGAGGGTCGTTTTTACTGACAGGGCTGGCCAGAGTGCAGCTTGGCTGAATGCTAATTAGGAATGGTACATGAAGCAGATCCTGACATCAAAAAAGTGAATATTTCTGAGTGCTGCTTTTACTGTCCTATGTGTCGTGTTAAAGTACAAGTAACTGTAGCATATTTGGGAATGACACTTGGATTACACTTGGAGAATACTGAAAATTAAAAAAAGGCACAGCTGTTGTAGGAGGAACAGAAAAAAATTGGAAAGAGGGAGATGTGTTTATGGTACACAAGGCAACAGGGCATTACAATTTGGAAAACGTAAACTGAATGATGATAGAACAGAAAATTACAACCATTGCAATGTACAACATGCTAGAGTCATCTGTGGTATGGATTCATGAATTATTCCCTTCTGCACATACATGTACGTTATGTCAAACTCCAATATCATCAAGGCATCCCTGACACACCCCTTATGTACACCAGGAACAATATATTCACAGCCAGCAAGGTGTCTACATCTCCATACACTTCACATTGACACGAGATGATGAAGCCTGTGAATTCATTCACGTACATGTATATTGACTGTGCACACCCTAAGAGTGGCTGTAATTCTCTTGCATTGAAAACATACCAAGCCAAGAAGGAACTATGATTCTAGATCTTTGATTCTAGCAAGCTTTCAAAAACAAAGATAGATATTGAAGTGTTAGTATTACTGTTTTTTTCTGAAGAAAAAAGAAAATGTTGAAAATATAAATGTACCTTGAGGCTGAGAACAGAAAAGTTGTGCAAGAAAAAATAAAAACAGACAAACAGTTCACAACAAACACTCCTGGTACCTTCTTGAGGCAGCAATTAGTGAAAATTCTGTGAGGCTGTTTGGATGATTTGTGTGGAACTCAGGCCAGATAATTAGTGACAAGCACAAAGAATTTAGTGGTGCTATACAGCCTTTTATGTACTCTGGGAACAAAGTGGATCGTTGAAGAACAACATGCAAGCTGCACTGACTTAAGCAAAACTATAACATCACTGTCATCAGCAATCAAAATTTAAAACAAGAGTCCAGTTGTTTGTTTGCATCATTGATGTGAATTCTGCGATGTTTTGCGATGGAAAAACAGCCCGGATCTGAAGGAGTGTATGTCACAAGCCAGACCTCTCTTGACTTGTTGGCTAAGAATCTTATAAATCCTTCAACATCAACCACTTTGCAGGAGAGTTACTGCAGACTCGGAACTGAATTGACCAGGAAGAGACAATTCATCTTTGGGTACAACACAGGTTTCATCCATTACTTATACCATACAGCAAGGACTTGCTCATACCTCGATATCAATATCAGGATGACTGCTCTCAGAGAGGGGTAGGATGGCAATGCGTGTGATGCAGTAGACATGATGTCCCCCTGGCAACGAACCGACCAATCGCTGACCACTAATCAACAGCAGCCTCCAGCTAGAATCTGTCAAGAGCAATCCCGACAAAACGGACAAATGAATAAATTTAAGCCTAACCTTGCAGTGGTTCATTTTGATTTCTCGTCTTAATGAATTAAGATGAATGAATTAATCGTGGATTAATTAATGTAACTTCCATACTTTGAAGGACCAATAACATCAGCAATAAATATTTCTCTTCAAGGTTTGTGGTATCTCTTCAGCAATTTTTGCTGAATTACGGTAGCTTAAAGATGAACAAAAGGTTCTCTGAATGTTTGGACTCGTGGGCAAGCCATCTGCAAACAAAAGGTTTACCGGTAAATTTAGCATCTCTTTAAATAAGGTACCAGTATAAAAGTATTGATTAAGATCCACCAAGTTTGCATGATGAATCAGCCATTCTCATGGAAATGACACGCAAAAAGATAAAAGACAATTTGACAAGGTTGGAATAGGTGAAAGAGCGTCTCTGTCAACATCTGCCTGTTTGGCCGTGACTGGCACAAAGGCGACGAAGGTAGATGTCAATAAATATCTCTCGTTCCTGGTTTTTAAAATGTCAAATGTAACAGCCACTTTGCAAATTGCGTACAGGTGGAAATGTACCAGGTAGTTGCTAGATTTAACAAAAGCTTGAAAATAAAGCTTGTCTTTGATCATATGGCCGGTATAGTTTTCAAAGATATAGGAGGGTTCAAAAAGAAATGGAAAAAGAATAGAGGTCAAATAATCCACAGTTTTCAATATTTAAAAAGGTGAATATCCATTCATTAAAACTATCAACAATGAAATACAATAGACAGTACCCAGTGCATGGAAAGAGGCCATGCCTGTGACCATAAATCAATCGCTTTCCTCAAAAACAACAAACTGTTACTATCGATTACGAGTAAATTGATTGGACACTTCCTGTAAGAGAGTGTGAGAAATGCATTTTAGCCAGCCCCAGGGTCCGCAAAAGCGCTCACTGTCCATGCACAACTGCAGGGGGTGGGGCCTGCAGATCAACAATGACGTACACACATGCAGACTGAAGTAATGACTGGTTGTACTGTGACAAAAATCAATAATTGGTGGCAGGTTTAGTGAAAAGATTCCAGCTTGTAGCTGATGGCTTCAAACCATCGTGTGTGTAATACCCTACCACTGCCTATACAGTGTCTATTGCCAATCCAAGGAAAACACAGGGAAAGGGGGAGATTTATGACAGGTCCACACGCCAAACATAACTCCATGGCAATTGAAACAAGCATACGTGTACCGCTGCATTATGTACAATGTACATGAATGTGTACATGTACATGTACATTATTAATATGATACCGGTATCTGTCTGTGGGTAGGCCTACATATCTCATCAGAAGTCAACCAAAGTTGGTGCCAACGTTTCACATATCACACAGGATAACAAATAATCGCTGATCAAACTGAATGCTGATGAAACACATCCTTCCAATATTTAAAACTTTAACGAAGAATAACAAAGTATTAGATAAAAATACAGAAGGTGAATTTATTTTCACATTTCAAAATCTTGTAGAAAACTGTGGAAAAACCAAGACAGCCTCCATGTTTACTAAATACAGGTATTCTAACAGGTGCTTGTTTTCTTCCCTTTGTTTCATATTTTCACCTAATGAACGGCCACACAGGCATTTACTCTTTACCGTCCATAGAATGTGAATGTCCTTAAATATGATGGACTTCAGGCTAAAAATAATTCATGTTCATGCATACATGAAGTCAATGAATTAAATAGTTTCTGGCTGCTGCTCCTAAAATTCTGAAGATTCATTCTTGTGCCTACCAGTATATATTTATTTACACAAATTCTGTAGACAGTTTAAAATTTGCAGTTTGCCATGTAATCCATGAAACTACCGGTATTGTTGGTTTTGGTTATTAAACAGGTTACTGTTACCAAACCATATTTTAAACAGAAAAGAAAAACCAGAAAGAGAAAAAAAAAAAAGGACAGTCAAAATCATCCCCTAGAAATGTCAAAATCATCCCCTAGAAATGTCAAAATCATCCCCTAGAAATGCCAAACTGAATTGAGATTTTGTCAATGCAATGGGCTGTGGGAGACACAAATACACATGTACTTCTCCTAATAAGACACAAATAACTCATTAATAGTTGAATAGTTAAATCTTCCTGTAGACATTAGTCTCCTGTGCAGCAGTAAATGTCAAAACAACCCACACTAAGCCACTTGAATATCATTCATTTATGAAGCAAAGGTTTTTCTGTCTTCTTGTCGTTCCTTGAAGATGAGAGTGTATTGACAGTGAAAAAAGCAGATGGTTGTGTCTAATCCTTTTAAAGCGGATGAAAATGTACCCTGTAGTTTTAAAGGAGTAGATGTCATAAAGATTGATGTACATGTACAGTGATCGCATACAATGCATTTGAGACTGGATCCAACAACATGAGTTGGGCCATTTTTTTTCACTTATTTTGTTTTAAATGTAACTTGCAATAGAAAGAGCAAAGTGAGATCTTTGCTTTTATGCATCACTCAGTTCAGCATCCTGATAAGAATTGGCATTACAGAGGTGAGAAATGTGGAGGGTTACTGTTGATCCCTTGTATAAGTAGGAAATCAAATCATTCCATAAAGTTGAGAGTGTACGGGACTGCAAAAGAAGGAGCTGGTTCTGAACTTCTGTCTAAGCCTTCTAGTTCTAAAGCAGACGGAAATGCAGTTTTAAAGGAGTGCATGTTATGAAGATGAAAACATCTATTTCAGAAGTGAAAAATGTGGAAGGTTACTATTGATTTACATGTAGAACTTGTGAAAGATTCTTTTAAAGGTCTTGAAGTCACAAGTGACTGGGGCGGAGTCAATTTGAATAATTTACTATTCGAACAGTCGACCTTCAATTCGATCAAATATCTAAATACTTGGTCGTACCGATCTGCAGTTTGTTGAGGAAATTACAATCACTATGATAGCTTCTCAAGTCTACTTGTATCTCCAGCCACGATTTAGCAAGATTTAAGAGACCAATAATACTTCTTTTCCTGTTGAAAGTGTATAAATATTCTTTTAAATTTTTTTAGTGAATAATGTACCTTTTGAAACATTGTAAGGTTTCTGTCGCTTTATGTTTGAATCTGCTTGGAACAAGCCCCAATGGTGCATTTTTGTTGCGTCAGAGTGTATAAAAAGAAGTTTTGAGGAGAGAAGCAAATTTCCAGTGAAGAAAATCTGTAAAAAAAGTACAAATACTAACAACAAAAGGCAAAATGGACAAAACTTGGCAAACCATGTAATGGTGGCGTATCATGTGTGAAACGAAAAGGTTCAGGTGTATACATGTAGGTACAGTACATACATGTACATGTAAGAAGTTAGAGTTTCATTCAACACCTTTCTCAACCAACTCGTACCGGTATGTTGTTTCTGCAATTTAACACGTAAAACTTTTGATTTCATTATGCACTGTATGCCTACTAGAATGTAAGTTGATTTTCGCAGCACATGTACATACATGTAATTTGTAAATTTAGAGCTCAAGACTCTATTCTGGTCAGGGATGGTTTGCTATGTGAATAGAGCAAGGGAGCATGTACACTGTACATCTACTCATGGTTCATTGGATCATGTCCGCTGTATGCATGGACATGTACAATACTGTAGTCACACGTGTACATGTGTCAGCTGATGAAGACTAAATCCAATAACCACAAGCAAAAAGCACTCTATAGAGTGCAAGGTCCTTCATGGATGGCAAGGTAAACTTAATCACATTACAGGCCACATCCTACCAGGTAGCACCATGGGGCCATGTCAAATGATGATCCTTGATAAAGCTACATGTACAATGTGTGTCCATGCATGCTGTACAATCCAGTCTTCCTCCAAGTTTTCTCAGGTGGACTCTAGTTACTGATTCACATGCATTTTTTTTTACCATTTATGCTTATTATTATTATATTATGCACAAAAATTTCAACATCCACTGAGCAACTGCCTGTTCTTTACTTATATTTCAGCCAACAGAGACCAGCGCTGACAGGACACTCCACACAACCCTTTGGTTATGGTACCAGTAGATGAAAGTCCATCAGGATTTGTCAAGTAAGCTACGCATGTACAGATACATGGATAATTCAGTGCGCTTCAAAGTCTTAATTGATTCTGAGATGAACTATATGAGTAGATGCCTTTTCTTGCAAATGGCATATTGGTAGCAAAATAAAAAATTCAAAGCTAAAGATGCAATGTGTAAATAGCTGAGATTTTGCACACAATGCCAAACGTCCCAACTTGGTACATGTACATTACCATTAAAATAGGAATTCTACCTGAAGTACCTGGTAGGAAGACAATTTGTGTGTGCTACCACATCCATGGCAGAAATGTCCTTAATTATGGACTGAGGTGTATTTGTTGAATGTGTCTGGGGTTGCGTTGTCATGGAGACAAGTGTTGGCTTAAGCTTCTGAGATAAATACGTGTCACTAACTTGCAAACACAATAAACCTTAATCTGTTTGCAAAATGTAGGAGTAGTACATAAACAGTTCCCAACATACGTGTACACTGTGGATCAAATTATAGTTTGGGGAACACATGTATTTACTTTTAGATGAGGAAGTTTGCACTAATTTCTTTTTGAGAAAAATGATTCAGAAAGTACATGTACAATGTAGAAAGCAAATTAAGAATTAAAAATGAAACCTGTGTTGTACCCAAATTAAAAATTCAGTTTAAGAAAAGATTAATTCCTTCTAGTGTCCATATTTGATTTTTTTTTTCTAATATACATGTATATTTTCCAGAAGCAATCCAACAGTGGACCCCAAAAATATTCTAACCTTGTTTCATCATTTGACAAATGCATGTGTACAAAGCGAAACCTTAATGGGATGGTGTTGTCCGATGCCTCAATCATAAAAACAAGCAGAAATCTTTCAACTGAGCTCTTCAACCAGCCAATTATAAAGATGAAATCTCCATCATCTTGATTTATCACACACACAAGCACAGTATCGCATGGTATGGTGTGCTTTCCTTCCTGTACCAGAGCAATGGAATGAGGAGGAGTTGTTTTCTTGAAGGAGGTGGGATTAGCTTTGTCTACCATAGCTTGGTCCATAAAATAATTGGGGTATTCATGAAAAAGGAAACTCCAATTTTGAATCAAGTATTCCAAAATTACAACTATAAAATTCCAATATTTGGGAGAACAGATATTGACTGGGATGTGCAGCATCCTTATTTCTATAAGCCACTCCTCTTGACACCCCCTCCCATTCATGATTTTTGAAGACCTGTTGTTACTTTTATTATAGATAGCTCCACTCTTTATGAAACCTAAAACAGGAGTTGAACTCTACGAAATTCACTTTAAGGTGATTCCATTCCATTGGGAATTGAAGTTTGATACAGTACTTCAAATTCCTAACATTCATCCAAGGGACGAAACAGAAAGCATAGACTGCTCCATTGACGAGGTGACATGCTCTACTGATCACAGGTATTGCACGATTTAATCAAAAGACTTCCTAGTCCACAGTGGCAGTCAATGCCCAGGGCTCGACTGTCTACACATGTACGTGTCCTGAAATAACAAATGGTCAAAGGTTGCCTCAACTGCCTGAGTGAGAAAAACAGGAAAATAATTATGTTCTTGTAATAATACATGTACGTCATAAAAAAAGTTGTGTAAGGAACTTGAGTGAGAAAATTAAGAATGAAAACCAGGTATTACATGTGACAAAACAGACTATCAATCCTGCTTTTATCTTAAATTGTCATATTAACATCTGGCATGAAGCTTACATTTTATATGTTAATAACTCTTCTTAATATTGTGCAAAGTGGCAATTTACCGGGGTTTAATTAATGTTATTTAGCTCATGTAATGTACAAAAGTTAAGTCTTTGGCTCTAAAAAGTAAAAAAGAAATTGTGATTGGATAGATGTAAAAACAAATTATGCAGTTTTTAATAGGGCACAGTACATGTATATGTACTGTGTAGATGTGTTTATGTTGTTAGAAGGAGTCACCTCATGGAAAATTGCTTCTATTGTGCACATTTGTTACATACATAGTAATATACAGAGTTTACAGCCCTTCAAAGTGAGGGTGTATGCATATTAACGTAGTACCTGTATACAGACTATGATGTACATGTACAGTACATATGCACATGTACATGTAGTATACATTACAATGCACATGTACATGGAGCTAGTACCGTGACTCTGATGGCATGTATGGACATCACGTTTTTTTATTAAGCTCCATGAAAACACCGCAAGCTGGTTTTTCTGTACAGGGATTTCTCTGTGTGGCATTGCACTTTGGGTTTTGCACATACACAAAACAAACTAGCCTAACCAGAGCAATGGCTCTGACGGGTTGGAGATAATGAACCTTTAAGTTAACTGACTGAATGCCAAATGCTTGCTCATGGTTGAATTGTTCCACAAACTGCAGGTTCTAAACCCGACATGTACCCAATGGAATTCTCATTGTTCTAAAGAAGAGCAATTGTTATAATTTTCAATATAAATGTGAAACAATTGATATTAAACTGAACTATTGCACTGTAATGTGGTATTTTACTCAGCAGGAGATGCATGTACTTGTATCATGGCTGAAACAATCCTGAAAAGTAAGAATTATCTCTGGCCACTCAACTTACCAGGATGCACTTTTATCTTGCCAATGACACCATCCACAGTTCCAAGGCAAACAGGATTCCATGCATTAGCAAGGGCTGAGCCTGAATCACGGGTGAGAAAAAAAAAGGTGTTGAAGGTTCTTGCACTTTAACAGGCTCCTGACTTCAATGCAAATTTAGAAGTGCTCAGGGAAGGTACGGTACAAATACACAGCAAATGGAACGTTATTTTTCTCACAACCTGAATGATACAAAGGTTTCAAATGTTTGAGGACCAAAGAAAATTTTAAAAAACACCTCCGTCAGAATGTTAACTTCTGATTTGGAGAGAAGGCATTTTGCAAAGCAATACTTTCAGGAAATAATAAGCTTCCTAAAGCAACTGGGAATATTACACGGCCCTCTCCAATTTACATGTATGGTTTATATGATCCCCTTACCAAATGTTACAAGAGGTGATGAACTACCTTCAAAACTGTGGGGTCCGACGTCCGCCCAGCTCCCATGTGGGAGCAGGGCAGATGTCCAACCCCACAGGTCTGGGGTAGTGATATGTAGCATCCTAGTAGACTAGTAGTCCGTGTAAATTGGACTTTATGAATCATACTTTTTTAACATTTTGACTTGGTCATGCGATACCCTACCATCCGTGTCAAAATTTTTAAAAATGCGATTGGTCGAGTCCAAGTTACCCTGACTAGCCTCCTTGCAACTCAGACTACATGTAGACTTATTCATAATTCTGATCCTTTGTGAAGGGAACATGTGACTAAGTGGTTAGGGTCAGTGGCTTCCAATCATAGGGTTGGAGGTTCGAATCCAACTGCTGGCTGTACATGTATGTTGTGGCCCTTGGCAAGCCTCTTCACCCCTGCTTGCCTCTCTCCACATAGGAGTATAAATGGGTACCAGCATTAGCTGGGGAAGCAACCTGTGATGGACTGGCATCCCATCCAGGGGGAACAGAGATATATATTATCAGTCGTTTCATGCCATGGAAATCAGAGATATATGTAAACACCAGCCTGTGAGCCAAATTGGCTCAGATCAGATTTACTTGCTGATCCTTCGTGTAGTCAAACAAAATCATTCTGAAAGTTGAACAAGCCATGAAGGATGAGGTTTCGATTTCACTGATGGGAAAAAATGTTGCATCCTGACTCCACTTCAGCAGTTGTGTACAAAGTCTATGGGGAGTGAAGAGAATTTTCTAAGTATTTCCCAACAACATCGGTAAATGTTTCTCAGTCCAGAATTCATGTCTTTCCAGCATTTCTGTGATGACTGACTTTTATTGAGATGATATATGATGAGAAAAGTGGAGTCAGGATGCAACATTTTAGCCCACTGATGTTAAACATCTTTATTATAGACACAGACACACACATTTACAAAAGCACTGAGGCTTAATACCAGTTTAACCAAAGCAACCAGTCCATTTATAGCACAAATCACGCTATGAATAAATCCAAGCAACAACCCACCAATAAGCCACAGGGGATAAAAAACAAGCACAGCATTATTCTGAAAAGCATTTGACCATGTTGACGTTTTAAAGTTTGTACCTTCTTGCGGGTCGAGTTTTCCGTCAGATCGACTACACCACAAACTGTGTTGGCCATCCTGCACAATGTAGTGATCGTCCGTCTGAAAAAGTTCCATTGTTTGATCACATAAACAACTCCAAATCACACATACTGTGGTCAGACAGATCTGTTAGTACTACCCAGTGGCTATGTCTAACCAGGGGTGGATCATTCATCATCAACCGCAAAAGATCCGTGATTTAGTGGTACAGTTCTTCGCCACGATCATTGCTTATGTCAAACACACAACTACCTCTTCACAGGGACTACATATAGTGCATAAAAACTAGCGCTCGATCGTCGTGCAAAGCGCCACACGCCCTCTACTGATATGATTTTTGCATTCTTTTTACCACGAACTGGTAGCCCGCAATACCAGTGGGACTTCAAATATTAGTTAAGGATTACTTCCGGGAAGTGCGTCATGCATTAATGTTCATTGTATTTTCAACAGCTGAGGTGACTTCATTACAGACCTGTCGTTTGAGCTTCGAGCACGGGGTTGTTGGAGACGTAAGCTGAGGGGATTGTCTTTGTAGTGAGTTGATAAAGTTTTTCTGCTTAATAAAGTACCGTCCCTTGAGACTAGCAACGATGAACTGTGGTGGATTTGGTGGCGCATTTCGGGTTTATGTCTTTGTGTTGATGCTATGCTTGACGATATTTTGGGATATCCAGAGTTCAAATGCATTATCAACTGATGTACCCGTTAACCAGGACACAGGTAAGCTACTGTCTGTTTATTGACGATTGCTCTGTCGATCCATTTTTAAATTTGGTTTTTGTTTTTTTTTACGTACATTTGTTTATTTGGTTGAAATAGTGTTTGCTTTTCTTAGTTTGGGACAGGTAAAGAAATAAGTTAACTTTAATGTCTGTCCGGACTTCTCAGGACTACTGTTTTCTTTCACTTTCAGTATTCTGTAAAGTTTTATGATTTGTTAGTTTTAACCAAGAGAGAAAGGAAAAGAATGGAGTTCTGTATTTCATTTTAATCAGTGTGTGGTTATTTAAAATGTGGTTTTTTGTTTTTCAGTTTCAACTTGTGTAACATGCAGCAAACATGAACAGCTCATGACAAAACTAACCGACTTGAAACAATCGGCGAGAGTGCTCAGCCAAAGAGTAGGTCGCCTTTTTAAACTTCATTTTTTATTATTATTTTGTTTTGTGCTTTTTCTTTGCTGTTGAAAAAGAGCCCAAGGCAAACTTTTGTGTTCGGTATTTTATTTAAAGGAGCAAGAACAATCCAGCAAATTTATACCGATAAAAACTGAAGCAGTCCTTTCTAAATAAGAGTCTGTGATAACATAGTTTAACAGAAGCTGAACTATCACCCTGGCAACATCAGGAGTAGAAGTACTTGCAACAAAATCAGAGTTCAAGACCTTCTTAAAGAGAAAGTGCAGATCCTAACATTGGCTTAGAGAAACACTCTGCTTAGCAAGGATTTCTATTCTCAGAAGTTCACTAAGTCTCTGTTCTTTGTTGTTCCATGAGACAGTACCAGCCTCACAAAGTATTTCCTAACTGTCTGTGACAATGTGGAAATGTTTTGAAAATAGAAAAAGAAAAAGAATTACTACTTGAAGTACTGCACTGGGGTTTAAAACTAAGCCATTTCCTCGAGTCGAGATAAATGAATGTTTACATAGTCTCACATTATGAACAATTTATTTCTTTTTATTTTTAATTACAGATGGAAAAAGTTGGAACTAAGTTGGACGATTTAGAGCAATGCAGTTGTGTTCAAAAATGAAGACCATCTGGACTGGAAACAGTAATGTGACATATGATATTAAGGGTTACTGCCACATTCCTACGGTTGCCAAAGTTTACTAGCTGGGAAAACCTTGCCAAGATCTGTCACCAAATGCAAATTCAGGTTGTAAAAAGATGGAATGTCCAAAGTTTGTCCTTTTGGTGTCATTCACTTGCCACCAGGATGTCTTGTTTCTATGACAACAGCTGTGAGTGAGAGACAGGGAAGACAGCTCCTTTAAAATGCACCTTGACCTTACTGCCGTTGTTTTTTGACCGCCATGCCTTGGAGTAATTAATTCCGCAGCCGAGCAGGAAAGCCACATGTATCTGTAGGCAAAAAATATGTCAACTTGGACAAAAATATGCACAGTGCATGGCCCCTGTGGAATGCCACTTTGTTGCATTCAAGTTTGTTTGTATAGTCTGCTGAAATGTTGCTGAATTTTGGGAACTTTTGCCATGAAATGGATCTAAAAGTTTTGTGTTTTATTTTTTAATAGTGTTGAGGAAAAGCATATGGCTACGTAAGCTATGTAGGCTTTGTAAGCCTAACAAAAGAAAACTGCTTTTTGAATGACCTTTTCTGAAGAGAATTAATCAAAGAAGTATCTGTTTTGACCAGTGGCCAGACAGTATTGCAGTCATGTGCTAGTACATGTACATGTGTTTGTTTAACTTTAAGTTTGGTTAACTAGGTTTATTAACCTACATTATCCCTGTTGGAAGCTATAATGTCATTGATTTTCCTGACCAGTCAATTTGAGTCAAGTGAATAATCATTTTGTGTAGAGTGCAAGAACGTGTATACCGTGATGAAAGTTCTTTGGGGGGAAGGTAATATTATCTTTACATCGAGATCAAAACAATGCCATCAAATTAGTAGGCCTGTCTGTTGTTGAAGAGGTTATTTGAAAACTCTGTCTTCAGGGACACAGTGTAACGTGACCTTTTAATGTGGCTTAGGAACCATCATATCCGATGGTTAATGTGAATCATATACCGACAGGAGGGAAGTCATAAACAAGATAACATGCTGCACCAGGCTCGTTGGTGTCCAACTTTACATAGACTTGATTCAAGCCTGGTTAGATTCCAGGTAATTCTAGTCATTGTTGGTAAACATAGCAAATCCATGTTAATGTACAATGGGGTATTTATGTGTCACTTTTCCACTGGACCTGTTACAAGTTTAACTTGGAACAAGTCTACCAATGTTGTACGGCTTTCTGTTTTGCAACCAGTTGCATTCTACAAGGTTGCCTTCAACAACAAACATTTCCAGCGTCGTAACTTCCGGTACAGTCACCTTGTTTTCACGGGGAAAGATTTTGGGGGAGTATGTCATTACATGTTTGTTTCTTTTGGCTTTTGTGACTAGGAATTCGTGTTATTGCATTATACATAAAAAGCTGAAATGCCAAGATGTGACAAAACTTGTTTCATTTTTACATCTTGTCCCGGCAGGCCCTAAAAGAATTTAATGTTATCTGTGTGGACATACATTTTTAATGTTCAGTTGCCAAAATTTAATTTAATGATTTTAACATTCTTTTCTAAAATTAAACATTTATACTTTACGCAGTTGTAATCATGACTTCCAGGACCAAATTATGATACTTGTTTACAAATATCTTGTACTTTTCTGCTTAACGTTCATGTTTTATATTGATTGAGACATGGCACTTTAATTTCCAACTGCTATGCTTTAACACCTTCATTTGTATATAAAATGTGATCAAACATTGAGATCGAAAAACGAGTGGTTGTTTTTGACTCTTGTACATATATTTTTCCAGAATAAAATGTCTGCATCACGCAAGATGTTTTAAATATTTTGATAATCATGCTTACATGGAATGGCTGAAGGTTTGTCAAAAACCGAAAACCTTTTTTTTTTCCTGTCGGCAACATCACACCATTTGTTTTTCCATAAGTATACGGCAGGAGGGAAAAAACACAGGGTTTCAACTTCTCGGCTTTTGAAAGATGTCTTAAATTGAGCTGGGATGAGTCATTCGCTTGTACCGCCCGTTTAAAAAGCAGCACCCGAACACCCTTGATACATTTTCTTAACCCGTTGTCTTCAGAGGTGTACACCCCTGGACGGTCTGGTCGTACAATGCTTTGTTTATTGCAATTAGCCGTTGCATATGCATGAGTCTGTTAACACGTGGCTTGTAGTATCGTTCTTGTCATAAGCCGTGAAACTTCAACCTGTGGTCATGAGTTTCTGAAGATTGCCTCAAAACTGAGTCGTGAGCGTTAGTCAACAATAACAGACTGATAGAGCACCAACCTGCGACAATACCCATCCCCGATTGGAACGTTTTCAAGCTGCAGTGTAGGCCTAGCTGTATTTGCAACTTTTTCAAGGTCAGAACTTGACCAGTCAGTCTTCAGGAACTTGTCGAAAATGTCTTCCACATGGAAGCCCAAGCCTCGACCACCACCAACTACCGAGCTTGAAGCATCTCAGTGGCCCAAGGCCGTCGGTTCTCGACCAGCACAGCCTCATTCACCAGCCCCCGACCCCGTGCAGAACACAGAATCTCTTGGAGCCTATACCTATTACAGTCGAGGAAATCCATCACCTCAACAGGCCATTCGTCAAAGAGTAGGAATGACTGGACTCGCCACAACTTACAGACGAACAGTGGAACCGCAACACGTCCAACATGTGCAACACGAACCGAGCACACCAACCGTGTATCAGCCGGTCACTCCCCCGTCTTCTCCACCGTCTTCCCTGCCTGGTCAACGACCGGTACCAGCTGCCCCGCCGCGCGTCCCTGTTATTACTAAACAGCGTGTTCCTCCACTAAAGAAGGAGATTAAATCTCCCCCAGCGGCAAATTTGAAGAGTTCGAAGGTAGGCATGCTATAAACTTTGATTTATGCAATATTTCAACTTCTTGTGGACAAATGTTGAAGGTTTTGGATGTTGCGACCAAGTACTTCGAGAAGTCAAAGTAGCGACCAAGTAGTTGTTTACGTCCCACCTTGATCACAATTTGCCATTTAAAAAGGAATTTACTTTTACTATTTTCCGGGAATATAATTAAATGTAGACTGTTGAAGTAAAAATGACACACAAAGGACACTGGTTATTTAGAATTTCTAATTTTTGAATTTCATTGAAATAATATTCGGATTTAGGTTACTGTTGTGTTAATGACATGGAATATGCAGATTCCACGCAATGTCGGAGCATTACTGGGCAAAAGTTACTCAAGCAGGGTTACAGTTGGGTGCAGTCGATAAGCGCGATCACTCAGTCTTTGTGCAATCAATGGATCTTAGTGCATGATGTGTCGATAATTCCTTCACCAGCCAATCATCAATTCTTTCTAATTCATGCTTGTGAAAGATGTTTCAAACAAGCGAAGTAAAGTTGGCGATTTCATGCAGAATGGACCACTCATGTTAAGTGTTCAGGCCATTGTGTAGATTGGTCATCACTCCCGACATAACTTTAAAAATGAACCATGCAGCAGCGACAGACTTCGATAAACATTTTTTTTCCTGATCAGGTTTCTCTAAGTACTTCAAGATCAACCTCACCAAGGTGCATCTGTCATCGAGACCATTGCAAGATCATTTGCTATATCTGTGGGAAGACTCAGATTGGTCGAGTTCGGATGCAGTGTCCAGAGCACCCAAACACCATCCATCTCATGGACTATGACCGATGCCCGGACTGTAAAGGGGTAAATCTGACCGAGATGAGAGCAAGACCTCATTGAGTTCAGTTCAGAAGAGTGTATAGTTACTGGGTATACATGTACATGTATTATGCATAACAAACATTTTCAGACTTCACATGAAATACAGGATTGTATCTTTATTGCTGAATTCACTTGTCAGGCTTATTTGTGGGTTTACTACAAAAACAAGCCTCCATGTTTCTGAGTTTAAAAACGTCATATTCCCAATCATGAGTTAGGCCTATGCTATTATAAAGTCATTGGTCCTTTAGTATATGCCAGTGAAATAAGAGGCAAGTATAAATTTTTGCATGAAGTTTGAAGTCTTGAAAATTTCAGGGTAGAGTAGGTATTAATTCCACAGAAGCTGAAAAAGTTGAAGGGAAATTGATGTGTACTTTAACTGGCATTGGACACTTTTAACAAAGCCCCGTGTATAAATAGGTAACTGTGTTTGAGTTAATTGTTTCGATGGTAACGGAAGAAGGTCTTGTTTAGGCAAGGGTTTTTTCAAATTGGTGCTCAGATCTGCCAACCTTGTGGATTCAGAACTGGACAAAAATAATTTTGTTTATATTGAGAAATCTCGGATCCGCTGGCCAACAATTCACCAATATGAGTGTAAAAAAAGGTTTATGCTCCGCTGTCTGGCAAGTGCGTTTTGTTTTTTGGGGGGTATTCTTCACTGCGACTTGAATATCCTTATTTGTTTTTCTTCAGACCATAAAAAAAATTCTTGTCTTTTTGATTTCCTTCTGTCCTCCTCTGAAATTTGTCTTTACAAAAATCTTAGTACCAACTTGTGAAAAAATGCTCGCCTTAATTTGAATGAAAGATATACATTTTGCAGTGATTTAACAAAACTGACAAAGCTCCAACAATAAGAGCCTATTGGCTTCTCTTTAATTGTTATCAAGTTCAACCATTTATCAATGTAATGAGAATTTCAAAAGTCATCAAGTATCTGGGAACTTGAAGCACGTTTGAAGTGCATGATTATGTAAGTTTTATGACCTGAGCTTTTTCTTTCTGCATTTGACCTCCGGGAGTTGAGTCAGAAAATCATAAACATAATTATTGTAAATATTTTAATTTGTTTGCTTTTCCCAAGATGTGAATCTACTTAACTGCAGAACTTATCCACTTTGTTTTCGGCGCCAGTCTTCCTTACTCCTGTCCAAGGACACAAGTTACAAAAAGTACGTTGCCCTTGTGCATCTACATGTACTCAAGAAGCATTAAAAGTAACTTGTGTGACCTCATGTAGGTAATGTCAGTTTTAGTAGATGTAAAGTTGACCCGTTACAGTTGTAGATTTTAGGCTGCTTTGACCTATTACTTAAACAGTTCTGTATTTATAAGGAAGGGAGTGGTTCTGCAGCATTATTTGATCAAAAAGCACTTTCCATTTTTGTCACTTGTTTATACAGGTATCTAAAACAGCACGGTGATAAGAACAGACTTTTCGGGGACATATGATTGCCAGTTTCTTGCGTTTTGTTTAAAAGAAATCAGAGTAAAGTGTGTATTTCTATTTTGTTGTCATGATAAAGATTTGTTATTTATATAGCAGGCCAAAGCATCACAGCTCTGAAGGACCAGTGTGCATACAAGCATGTTTGCTATCAAAAGTGAGTGAAAAAAAGTAGAAAAAGTTTCACCTGTTGCTTGAGTTACTCATGGAACTGGTCTTTCCAAAACAATTTGTTTCAAGAATGTTAACATCCTTATGTAAAGAGTAATTTAGAAAGTTAGTAAGTTAAAACGTTTATTGGGTATCTTTCAAAAGGTCCCCTTTTTGTTTCTTTTTGTGTGATCAACCTTGTTTAACTTTGTAAATTGTAAAAAGGACTGGAGTGTGATTTGATGATTGTTTGGAGTTCACTTGAAAATCTAAGACAAATGTTTTTCCAAGTAGAATCCATTGAATATGTACTTTGCACTTGATCAAAACGTCCTATAATACATGTACATCCATGAAAGACACAACTTTTTGTTATGCAATAAAGTAACTTTATTTGGTAACTCAAAAAGTACAACTGTTCTGTTTGTTTTCTAGAACTCAAAGCAACATGTATAACAAACATCGACATGACCGCCAAACACTAAATAGCTATTCATGTATTTTGTCCTTACTGAAAGCATGACCATGAAGTGCTTTAAACAATTAATAATGAAATACATACGTATATCAATAAGCCTTTTGCAAGTTCCATTTGAATAAAACCTGGTACATTGAGTTATCAAACTGCACCTGAACATAATTTGAATTCCCCAGACTAAAGACACTGTTGCTGTGCCTCGTGATTCGGGGCAAGCTTTTGCATAGCGACCACCATCTCTGGAATGGACTGGTTCCTTTGTGCCCTCCTTATGCATTGAAAACAGTGTATTGATGCATGGCGTCTCTTATGTAACTAAGCAAAAGCTTGCCCCACGAGGTATGGCAACAGTGTCTTTAGCATGGGGAATTCAAAATTATGTTAATGTGCAGTGGACTTAAAGAACTCAATGTACCAGATTTTATTGAAATATAACTTGCGAAAGGCTTATTGAAGGAATTCTACTGTGGACAAAGTATCTGTGCTAACAAAAGATGTTACACCACAAAACATTTAGTATCCTTCACCTTTCAATCCTTCCAAAATATGTCAAGTTTCCCCCAAAGACTACCAAAACTGACTACATTATCAGCGGACAAGCTTCTGAACCATCACTGAACTTATATGTGCACCATGCTTGAACCTTGGGCAAAATTAAAAACAGGCTTGGTTATGATCTCTCGATTTACTCAATGCAGCTACTGACTAGTTATAATCACGCTTGTGTTGAAATTATCAACTACTCACTATCAAGTAAAATGCTTGGAAATTCAAACATCAGATCTACCTTTTTCAAATTTTGTAAGTTGTGTCAAACATGAATACAGTAAAGATGTACATGTACTGCTTTGACCACTAACATCCTACTATGTGACCAAAATGTACCATGACCTTTGACCCTTTTACATGTTTTCATTCGTTCTCATTTCCCTGCTAACTTCTGCGCTCTGTGCCAAACTCCAACTATAGACAATAACACTATTAATTACCAATATGGCCAAAGGTTACATGAACACTTAACACAGTTGCCCATAACTGTAAAACTTTTGTTTAAATGTACAAGGTTTGAATACATCTGCTGGTCCCACAGCTAGTTTTTTCCAGTGAACTTCTTCACCTGTTCCATGGAAAGTTTATGTACATAAACCCTTTGGGTCAAAGGAGGTGTTGCATGCCATCGTAACCTCTTGAGCCTCTAATAAGCAACGATTTTGCCTTGCTCCAGCGTTGTAGTACACGTCTATGCATGCTACTTCAATTTCCAAAGTAGCTTTAATCAATGTTGACAGTCACTGTTAAGACCTAGCTATTCTACCGGGGAGGACTGGTGACCGTCGGATAAATATCATAGTTAGTACTAACTTAATTCACAAGAACATTATAAAATACTGTAGACTGAAAAATATCTGCTTTATCCACCCAGATCTATATCCAGATCACATAGGTTTTTTCACCCAGTGTTATGAAAGAACCCTACTTTGATAATCATTCCACTGCTGTGGCCTATGATACGACAATGTAATAAGTATTGTGACAAACAGTCCAGAGTACATGCATGTTTCTTTCACAGATTGTCACACTAGCAATCTTCTACATCATAAACAGTGCTTGCAGAATGGCGTTTAATGTACACTTTCTATAAGTAGCTACATGTACAGGCCTTGAGCTGGACAAGAGAGGGCGCTATGTTCTTAGCAATGGAGGTTCCTTTGGTTGATACTGAACTTCACTGGTTCAAAAATGACTAGGAAATGCACTCGTTATGGTAGCATCGCAGTGAACAAAACGAACTGTTCAGACCAATATAGCTATTTCAACCACTGAGGCAGTGCTTCTGCTTGAGGTGGACTGGGCAGAGATCCTGGAGAATTAACCATCACTTTTCCATCTCCGTGGCATTCCTAACGAGCAACAATGCTTTTGAGGAAGATACTAATTGACTACTACAATGCAGAAGTATTCCAACGATGAGTATGAGGTTGAGTTCCAATCACTGATGAAGGTTGAGAAGCTTCTAGAAATGTCTTACATTTACACGGTGCCAACGAGAATGCCTGTTCTAGATGGAAAAATGAATTGTTCCACTTCAACTAGGCAAGGAACTCCATACATTAGTTGTACACGTTTGTCTACATGCTTGCCAATTGCTAAAGAAAGCTCCTTCCAACTGTGGATATCTATGGAACACTGCAGTCTCACAGTAGGAACTGACATGTCCAAGTTTTATAGAACTGATTGACTGTCTTGAGTTGTTTCTTCAGGCTCAATTATGTCTCCTTAGACGGCTTCAAAGCTTGATGCGAGGCGACATAAGCACTCTCAGGGAAAAACTCCTCAAGTCGATCTGGATGTGCAAGATACCTGTTAGTTATGAGATGAAAGATTTGGAATTAGCTCACGATATTTGCTGCAGTGTCTTCCCAGTGCTACCTTTATTTAAAGGTACTTATCAATCATATCCGTTAGCCAAAGCCAGGTCAAGAGATTCAAGAATGCCTTTCTAAACATGATGCAATGATTTTTCAGCCCCTAATTCAAGGGTGAGATTTGTCAGTATTTTTCCAGACAATTTTCCTTGCTCTCAGGAATTTTCAAACAATCTCTGAATTTTTAGCATATTTTTTAGCATACTTTATACAACTTGATAAAGAGCACATGAAATGGGTATTTTAAGATGTGAATTGAGACAAAGACTATTGCTGGGGGGCCCTCCAAACCTTTGGTGATAATTTTGTGTACATTCCACTTTCCTCCAATCTCATCCCCTGCTCATTATGCACAAGTTAACAGGTCTACCCTCTTCAAAAGATCTGAGGGGTCAATTTCATAGAGCTGCTTAAGCATGAAATTTGCTTATGCACAAAAACCTTGCTTGATAAGTCAGGTAACCAGCCTAAACTCCATCTGATGTGTATTGTTTTGGGTTTGTATTAAGCTGTTTTTGGTTAGCATAACAATCAGATAGAGTTTGAGCGGGTAACCTTTGTTTATTAAGCGAAATTTTTTCCCGCTTAAGCAAATTTTGTGCTTAAGCAGCTCTATGAAATTGGTCCCAGGCTCTTACTTGAGGAACAATTCAATGTGTTTAAGTAGTGGACGAAGCTTCTTTGGAGGCAGATCCATCTTGCCAAGTAACTCCGGAAGCTTGACTGGTGGGGGAAAAAAGGTATAAGAATCAAATCATAAATATTCATGAAGTGGAAGGGATAACAGTGGTTTAGACTCAACACCAAGGAAACAAAGCCTTGATATAATGTGGTTAACTCTTGAAAGACAAAATAGCTATAGTGCACTTGAAGTGAACTATGTCTCAATACAATTTCGTAAGGAATTTTCCTATTTCTTGTATAATTCACAACTGTGGAAGAACCTCAAGGCACCTACTGTGTATTTTAGCTTCGAAACAACTCCAAACTCCATAGGAATAATAGGTCTACCCTCTTCAATCCAGTAAAAGCAATCAAAATCTCCGCTTGATTTTAAGAATTTGCGTTAAAGCCTGTCTAATTTTTTTGAGCCACCTGACTTACCAAAGAGTCGCATTAGATGCTGTGCTCCATACATTTTACAGGGTAGAATCTTGCCATCGTAATTAGCATTATCGTCTAGAAGTCTACACGACGGGAGCTTCATGTCACATCCATTAGCCGCACTGTTCTTTCCATTGTGACTGGCCACTTTCCCATTGTTGGACGAGGACTGACTAGATTCTGTTGATTCTGATCGAATCAAGGGAGTAACTTCAGGTTGGGTTTCTGGGGTTGGGGAGGAAGGAATGGAGGAAACGCTGGAGAGTCTTGCAGAATGACGTAACACCGGTCTGGAGGTGGAAGGATTGGTACCCGCTGAGCTGCTTGCAGTGTCTTTGTTTTGGTTTGATGTGTCCACAGAATGCCTCTTAGGGTATGGAGATCTTGGGTGATGGTCCACGTCTGGGCAGCGTCTCTTCACCGGTGGTAAAGGGTCAGCTAGGGTAATCTGGCCACTAGTTGACAGTCTACGCGTTACCCTCCTTGTAGGTTCTTCTTTGGGTTTCTCTGAGGTATTTTTGGTATCAACGATTGGCTTGGTTGTCTCCTTGGTAGGTGAGGATGACGCACTCTGCTTTCTGGGTCTGCCTCTTTTAACTGGTGACCTGCTGAGACAAGTACCAGTGATTTCAATGAACAGTTTCTATGGCAGCTCCAATTAAGAGCCCCTCTGCAATCACTGAACTGATATTTTAAGCTCATATTTTGAGGAATTTGTGTTAGAAGTAATGAACACTTTGAGATAAATTTCAACGTCAGTAGTGTAATAACCCAGCTTCCAATTTTAAGACTTAAATCTTCCAGAATGTTGACACTTGGTTGATATTCCTAAGATTGCTGATTTCCACGCGATTACTTAGATTACTTATGCTCTAGCTGATAAATACATTGGAAACAAAAAAACAAGTTTCTCATACTTACGGTGCTTCACGTATCGCATCTTTTACATAACATGACACCACAATTTTCTTGTACTGTTGATGTTCAACGCTGTAGAGCAAGTTGGTTGGAAGGAGAAAGTCAAAAATGATGCGTAGACCATCCATGACTTCCTTACACAAATCGACACTGGAAACAAAATACAAAAAGATATGATCACAAACGTTGAAAAAGTACAAAAGACGTGGTCCTTCTTGAAAAGCAAGAACTGCCAATAAAATAAAAGCAGAGTTTTCCTCATGATCTTTGCTGAGATGCACACACCTGCAAATTTGTTTAAAAAGGTTACAACCTCTCCAGAATGCCATGGCAACATGAACCTCATCATGCTTCCCTTGTGTAAAATGACTCACTTGTATTTTGGTTGTGGTGGTGGAACTAGACCTTCTTTTGCCACCGTGCTGACAACATTCTGCGACTGACTTCTCTTTTTCTCATGAACCTGGACGTTGATGGCAAAGTGTCTGATGTAACCTTCCATGATGGACAGTATAGTGTGTTCACATGGTAACTTCACCAGCTGAGAACAAAGATTAGATGTTAAAAACTTTCCTGATTTAAACCCAGCAAAGCTGAACTTAACACCCAAAAGCAGAAAAATTGGCACTGGTTCACTTCTCTCCAGTAGGCTGAGAGAAGATCTAACACAACAAGAACAGAGAGCGAGTTACTGTTACAAAATCTTGATGTGAACCAGGAAGGAATGGCTCAGATCTCAGTACAAGAGCCAGCAGGTGATGAAAACAGAGGAGTAAATTACTTATTGCAAACAGTATATGGTTGATCTGACTACGGAAGAAAGCAGTGATAAATCTTGGCATTGAAATCAGTTCAATTCAGCGCACTACTTGATTGACAGGGGCTGATTTCATTCCAGTCATCAGTGGGTGTGGTGAATGCCTTTAATAGTGGGAAGGAGGTCAGAGTCTAAAGTGGTGAATGCCTTTAATAGTGGGAAGGAGGTCAGAGTCTAAAGTGGTGAATGCCTTTAATAGTGGGAAGGAGGTCAGAGTCTAAGGTAAAGGAGCTTCTCATTGTTTACAATTATTTACCTTATTTTTACGAGTGATGAAGTAGCAGTCATCTTCTAGTTTAGTCTTGAGTGCCTCAGGCAGAGGAATGGGGATCTCCACAGCCTCTAATTCTGCACTGGAGGACTGAAAACAACCAATGGTCATCTCAAAACGGGCGTTTCAAAACAGTGTGTCTCAAAGAGGTTGCACCGCGTTGGCCAATCACAATGTCCGAAATCTGTCGACCCAATGCGTGTGTGGAAAGGGTCAACAGATTTCGCGCGTTGTGATTGGCCAATGCATTGCAAACTCTTGGAGGCGCACTATTGTGAATATTAAAAAGGTCAAATCTTTGGCAACAGAATTGCAAGGTTGACTGAGAAAAATCCTTGGTATAGCTGAGTCTGAGAAACAAGAGGTTAACACCATCTGCCGTGACCAAAAGGCTCCTGATTAATGATTAGAGGCAATATTGAGTCTCAATCACTGACAGGTCAACACATGAATTCCGGCCTGCCATGAGCAATAGTCTTCAAGACATCAAAAAGAAGATAACTAAGATGGACGAGTCACACTTACTGAGTCATCACTATCGTCACTATCGGCTACACCACTGCTCATGTCCGAATCTGAACCTAAACAAGAGAAAGGGAACGACTTTTATTTCAAAATCTTCTAAGATTCTAAGAATTCATTGACTGCAGCTATAACATCACAACCTTCTGAAGAAATACAGACGTATGTCATAAAGGTATTGACACCTTACATACTGGCACGTGCACTGGCTTAACAACCAATCACAGTGAACTTCTCTAACTGAGCCGACCAATGAGGTTGCTTTTAATATCAGCCATTACCAAAGACTTTAATTGGCAGCTTGCTGGGCATAAGCTAACACTGAGGGTGCATTCAAGCATGCTACCTGTGTTAACCTGAGTATACCCCTGAGCATAAGAACAGGAGTATGACCCAGGGATCAGGCCAAGTATATTCCCAGTCACAGCAGTGAGTATGACCCAGGGATCAGGCCGAGTATATTCCCAGTCACAGCAGTGAGTATGACCCAGGGATCAGGCCGAGTATATTCTCAGTCACAGCAGTGAGTATGACCCAGGGATCAGGCCGAGTATATTCTCAGTCACAGCAGGAGTATACTCTTGATCCACGAGTCTTGCACTCGCATCATTTTCCTACACTTGAGAGTCAACACGAGTAGCATGCGCAAACACACCCCAAGACTTAAATAACTCTACCATACTTCAACAACCAATCACGATGAAGTCCTCTAAATTGACCAATGAGGCTCCTTTTTATATCAGCTATTACCAGAGACTTTACTTGGCAGCTTACTAGACATGAGCTAACACTGAGCATTAAATACCAATCAATCACAGTGAAGTCCTGAGACTAAATTGACCAATGAGGCTCCTGTTACCATCAGCTAGTACCAGAGACATTAGTTAGTGGCTTACAAGGCATGACCTAACACTGAGAGTTCCATACCTTTACCAGCCTTTCTCTTCCTAGCCAATTCTACCAGCTCAGCCAAAGTCTTCTTTTTCTTCTTCTTCCCCCTTCAAAAATAACAAAAACCTCTTTGAAACTCTGAATGATGATTTGTGAATAACTAGGCTGTTAAATTTCAGAAACAACAGTGTGCCTCAAAGAGGTTGCACCGCGTTGGCCAATCACAATGTCCGAAATCTGTCGACCCAATGCGTGTGTGGAAAGGGTCAACAGATTTCGCGCGTTGTGATTGGCCAATGCGTTGCAAACTCTTGGAGGCGCACTATTGTGAATATTAAAAAGGTCAAATCTTTGGCAACAAAGACTTTCAGAAGCAAGTTCTAAACTATTAGCAAAAACGTGCATCCTTAGCAAATCAGTGCACGCTTATTTACAAAATACTCTACAACTGCATTTAGCGATATGAAGAAGCTGCACGGAAATTCACGGGTAGCCAATTTTGGAAAATCCCTTCTACTGATATGATAATGATTTTTAAATCTGGAATATTTCAATATCAAGTTGCAACTTACATTTTTGCCAGTGCCTGCCGATGAAGTTTCCCTTTTAGCTCCAGGTTTTCGTCTGTGTATCTTAAGATGTAGTGTGCAGGAGCCCAACGATCCCAACTATTGGAAAATAACATGACCACAAGGAATTGTGTGAAGTTAACAACTGTCTTAAGATTTTTCAAATCTGCCAGAACTTAGAAGATAACTCAAGATTTTGTAAGGGGCTCATGTAAAGACTTAACATTGAAGCATCAATTTTTTTCAATATTTTGCTAAACTAAGTTCATAAAGTGACATGTATTTTACTTCAAACCAAATTAAACTGGAAATCTTGCCATCATTCAATCATTGTTCATCAGAAAATGAAAAATAAGACGATATCCAAATCTCTTTCTGCATTCATTTTTTTGCAACTGACCTGCTGTTCCAACCATTGAAGTGTACCAAATATTCTGGGACTCTGCGATTGGTCGTTTCATCTTTTGTCCATTCCACATCCAAAATCTTTTGATCATGAAGAGAAAATTAAACACAAATACTTTAATGACAATCATATTAACAACATGAAAATATATGTAAGTTCTGATATACCTGCACAAATATTACTCAACCAAAATGCTGTCAAACATTAATTTTTTTGGCCGATAAATTTCAACACTTAACATCCACAATACATTGTATGCAAGTTATGACTACACATGGGAGCAAGTACTAATCAAAACAACACACTCCATATGCTCACCGTAACAGTTCCATTTGAAACTGTGAAAAATTCTCCAAGCTAAGATTTCAAATTCATCCAGATATGCATATGAAAAATATCATACTTCTTTGAACTCTAGTTCTAAACCAGTTCATAACAAACCTTCAATACCTCTTTTGATAGGGGATCAGACTTGGCCATGAATTCCCCCAAAGCATCTATCTAACGGTCTTTTATCACGGTACAAAGAGCTGGTGGTGTGGCCCAAACCAGACACGAGACAGCTGTATGCTTTGTTTGAACCTTGAGGGGGGCAGGTGGTACAAACGGAAAACATGGGCAAAAGGCCAAAAGATCACATTGTTGACACTATTCACACTACGCCAACAGAGGGCGCTAGAGCGAGTCCTGATTCATCGAAGTGAAAATTCTTCGTTTCGAAAACAACGAAAATGCATGCAAAATGACCGACCAAAATGTACATTCCTGTTTCAGAAGTTGTATATTCAATTACGGAATTAAAGGGTGGAATCAATGAAAATGTATTACCTCATCTAAACCGTACGTAACTTCACAGAATGCGAGAGAAATTCGGAGTTGAATATCCCTATTTTGCATAATAAACCTCGCACGCTGTGCCGTTCGACTCCTCGCGCGCGCACACTGAGATTCGATTTTATTCGACTCATTTGAATTAACTTGAGTCCATGAATGCTAAATCGATCATGTTGCTACTTACTTTGGAGTCGTAAAGGACCCTTGCCTTCGTAGGATCAGGTTCATAACATAAAACATGTTCTCCAACGCTAAATTCGGCGGGTGTTAGGCCCCTTGTTGCGATCACCGACGTCGTCATGGTGGACTTTAAAAACAGAAAATCGATTTTTTTTGGACGTCTGGACCCTGTATTCATTAAAGGACAATATTAACAGGGATGCGGTTGGGAGCCCGACTAAATTACCGGGCATGCTGAATACATGGTGGCTTTAGAGGGCGCGTTTATCATCAATAAAACCGCGGCAGCAGCGCAGACGACATGGACAGCTTGTGATAGGCCCCTAATCGAAGTTTTGTTTAATTTCGACATGCACGTTACCCCAGTAAGTACCACCACAAGCAATTACTGAAAAACAATGGAACAAGGTCTTGAAGAAGCGATGTTTTCCGCGTTATCTGTGTCAAAAATTGATAGAAAATAAAATAATTGATTCTCGAATCTTGGATCTTTTGGATCAGTCCGTGTCAGTATATATACCATAAATATAAAAGATGTCTGGTTTTACTAGAAGACTGGTTAACTGTAAAGACCCTTATATTCTTGTCACACTTTCATGATTTTACTGCTCTCTTGTCAGACCTATTCTTGGGTATACTGCCCCAGTTTGGTACTCAAGTTATCCTTGCCAACGAAAATCATTGGAAGGAGTTCAAATGTGATTTATTCGTTCCTGTTTGGGCCTCCCAAGACGTCATTTGCCAAATTCCAGCAGGGATAATAAAGAGTACTCGACCTGCTGTTCCAAGCTGGGTCTGTCCTACTGAACGAGTAGGCTAAACTTTTTCGCAGTCGTGTTTGAAGCCAAATGTATCTATAACAAATTCGACATTGAATCAGAGAGCTACATGTATATCAATCTCAATTCTAGACACATTGATGATGTTAAATTTATTCATTACTATTCTAGAACTATAGCTTTTCATGAGTCACTTTTTGTCAGATTCCCCCATTTGTGGGATACTCTGCCCACTGATGTAGTAGATAGTACATGCCATCTTGAGTTTTTATACAGACTGGAGTTTGCTTAACCTTTTTTTGAACCCTGTTATTTTCTCTTAATCTCATGTTTTTTTTATAAACTGTTTGTTTATATAACTCGGTGTCTGTGTTTGTGCAGTTGTTGCTTGTTTTTTGGGTCGTTTCTTCATTTGTACATTTGTCTGTTGGTTTGTCTTCTGTCTGTCTGTCCGTCTGGTGTGGGTGGGCTGACCGATTGACCGTCTGTTGTCCTTTTGTCTTATTTTTGGTTCTGTTTTGTTTGTTTTGTTTTTACTATTTATGTGTTTCGAAGGTTGTGTTTCTCCGTCTGTGGGGTCATCTGTTTCTTGTTGACTGTCTCTTTGGAGTTGGTTTTGTTGGGGTTCCCTTTTGTTTTTAGATTTTTAATTACCATCGGAATGTTTTCCTTGTTTTTTTGTTAATATGGTGCAACACATAATATTATCACATAAACCCCAGGATTTTGTAATATTTTCTTGGGTGATTCTTTTCGCCCATGGGATTATGTGTTTTAATGTGTGTCTGCTAAAATGTTTTTGATTCTGCAATTTACGGTAGCGTTCTTAGTCATGTCATGGGAGAACTACATGATTGTGATTTAGTTGACTTTTAAGTAATCGCGCAGAGGCATGCAACTCCTGTTGGTGTTAGGGTCTTAGTCTTTTTATAAGGTTTGATGTTATATTTAAACTTTGTCTTTTTTATGTCTATACTGTGTGCAATATTTATTTTTTTTTACCCTTGTAAATTTGACCTGCAAAATAATTAATGAAATGAAATCGTATAATTTGCATGCACTTCTCAACGCGTTTTATTTTTAACATGTTCAGACCTACATCATGTAGGCCCCTACATGGTTTAACTGAGCAGTAACGTACATGTAACACGCAGTGTTGCATGTGTACTGCACGTCATGTACATGTACATGCAAGAAGGAGTTCCATATATGGATGCCACCCGACAGCCTAAAAACCCTATGGGACTGGTCTGAAAAATTCTAAGTGTTTTCTAAGTAAGCTACTTGCTTTTTCCCTCTTAAATTGAACTTTTCTGGAAATGTTTTTGTTTTCTGAAGGCTAATACTTGTAATACTAGCATCCGTATATGGAACTCTTCTCGCACCTGACATCCCTGTCACAACTACTCTAGGTATGGAGGATGACCCATATGAAGATGAAAGTTGTCCTGACTTTGAGCCAGCAGTCCAGTCTACTGGTCCGTCAGAAGCAGTGTTGTGTGTTCAGAGAATGCTTGGAGAACAACTTGACACTAACATTTCTTTAGAACAGTAAGTTTGGCTAGCTGTTGTGAATAACGTCCCTAACTGTATAGTCGCCAGGACCCTAATTTCACCACTTCTTGTCAAGTCAGATTGGTTTTTACAATAAGTGGTGAAATAAGGGACCTCAAGACTACATGTACTCTGTCATGGGCATTGGAACTTTTAGCAAATACTGCTTTAGCAGTTTTACACAATAGCTGCAAAGAACTATTGGAATGAAGAATGTTTGATATCTGATCTTTTTCTGTTTCCACAATTCTTTTTGGCCATTATGGGTTCGTGCAAAGTCATCCAAGGGGTATCTGTGATAAAGTCGACTGATTCAGGTTTAGCAGTTCTCACTTTAAGTCGTTTCTCTCCCACAAACTTGTTGTCTGTTTGTGAACATCGGAAGTCATCAATACTGACATTTTGTTGCTTCACGTGCATGCACTGTGTGCATGTCTTGCTTTAAATACACGTATTCACTTGTCAACTTAGCCCAGTCTTGTCAAAGAGATGTTGTGATATAAACAGAAGTCACCGATCCTCTCTCCCTTCTGTGATGTTCGTACTCACAAACTGTATTTATTACATAAGAAGAATATCTTCCGCAGAAACATACCAGTACCCTTGGAAACAATTGTACTCAAAGCTATTGTAAATGTTACTACTTTGTCATTCGTGTACTATATGTCTGCATTGCTTAAATATGTCCACTACTCTAAAGGGATCTGGTGGAAGCATGTGCATGGTTATTGAGGCAAAGTAGCTTGCTCAGGAACAGAGAAGTCGTCAGTTTAACCAATCTTAACTTGACACCGCACATGCATATCAGATGGGGGTTCAAGGGGTATTAAAACCATTGCAGTCATTAATGAATACTTGTGCAGCCCCTGGTGATAACTTGCCATCATTAGCAAGCAAAGTTAGCAAACCATTCATGCCTGTCTCTGATCTCCCCACCCCTCTACTCTCCAGGCAAGCTTCTAAAAGCAGGTCATTCACCCAGGCTGCTGCAACCTTCAGACCTTTTGTCGAGCAGGCCAGCGGTCAATTATCCCTGGAGGAGTTTCAGGCCCTTGAGAGAGAGCACGAGGGACTTGAGAAGCTAAGAGCATGCGGTCTGAGCGATGAAGAAATTGCCCTCAAATTGGAGCATGAGGGCAGACACCTGTCTAACCTCCTTTATGTGAGTCAAATTGTTAAAGGGCTGATTATTCAGTGTTGAACTGTTACAATTTTTGCAGATGTAGATAATTATGCTTGTGTATATGAAGCTAAATCATTAAACTTAATTAGCATAAAAATTTTCTGGGCCACTAACTTTTATTTGAAATATTTAACTCTTTTATCAATTGTTCATTCCTTTCTGCTGTCTTTATTTATTTCCAATGACTGGTGTTGTTTTTAAAAAATCACAAGTTGGACTAACTGTACAGCATTAAGGTTTTCCTTGATCTGAATTCACTCAAGTCTGCTTCTCTACTCCAGCCTCACAAGCGCCATCGTTCCATTGCTGATCCGGTTGCTAGGCTGAAACGTCTCAAGGAAGTGGAAGGCAAAATCCAAAGGAAAAAGGCATCACTCAGCTCATCCCAAGATGCTGCTTCTTCTGACAACAAAGAGACAGATAACGACCTTCAAGGAAGTGCCATCAGCTCACCTAAACATCCTTCATTACTCAGTAAGACGTTACCCTAAGCATTCTTGTTGTAGTCACATTTACAGATGGACGTGTCCTTTACTAAGTAGCTCCTCTGTGTAGTAGGAAAAGGACATGCTGATCTGAAAAGGTACATCTTCATTTTGTAGAATTAACCCTAACCCCCAGGGACCATTGAAATCCTGTAGGGTAAAAAGAAGCTGTGAACTTGCATCAGCATGGAATTTCTAAATCTAGGCTGTGTGAATTTTTTTGCCATGTAATCTACATCTACACTCAATATTTGCAACAGTATGCCGCCAAGAGTTTGCAACGCGTTGACCAATCACAAGGCGCGAAATCTGTCGACTCTTTCCAAACAGGCATTGGGTCGACAGTTAAGATTGGCCAATGCGTTGCAAACTCTTGGTGGCGCACTATTGTGAATAGCCCGAATTATTCGCAGAGTCTATCCACTGAGACATTAGTTAATTGTGCAATGGCAAGAGACTTGCCACTATAAGAGAATCAATCATGTTCTGTGGTTTCCTTGCAGGCAAGAAGTTTGTCCATCCTGATGATCCCATCAACCATCTAGACACTATCACCGCTGGCCTGTTTGGGGAAAGTAGTCAAGGTAAACAAGTTAGAAATGTTTCTCAGAGAAGTGGAAATGCCGTGTCCCTCATGGCTGAACCCTCCGGAGGATGCAGTCCAGGTTGCCAAGGCAACGGACCTCATGCAGCAAAAAAGGAATGGCAGGCTAATGAGTGCTCCTCTAAGGAAAAATCTGTGGATGGCTACCAAGATGGATTAAGAGTAAAATGTGCATTAGAGACCTGCGGCAGGGATTCCTGTCGGGAGTCTATCACAAAACGTGCTCTTCACATCAGTAAAGACGGAAATTTGACTAACACCCCTGAGCAAGAAATAGCCCTGGAGGGCTGTCCAGAGGAGGAGATTTCAAATAGTGCCATAGGGAGTCAAGAAACAGGAAAGATATCTCGGCAGATCTCTGGGGTCCAAGGAAAATGCATGGATGAACAAGATGAGGATAAGAAGCCCCGTAGACTGGCCTGTATTGTCAGTCCTTTGTCACGAGAGGATTTATTGCACCATCATCTAAGTCAGGATGACATTCGTAGGATGGAGCGCTTTGCAAACTACTCACCAGGGGAACCAAGCAAGGTAGTGTTAAAAAGATCAACAAAATTGAAATTTACACAACAATTTTTACGGCTTTTTTAACACAAACCAAAATCTTTCTCTTAATTAATACACAGAAAATTGTGCATATCTAGATTTCAAACAATTATGTTTGCATGACAACAAACACATAAAAAATCTGTTATGAGAAAATTTTTGGGGGGAATTACAAAAATGGAAAAGATTGAATTATAAAACTCTGTTCAGTCTTACATTCAAGCGAAAAATTTTCTCAACAATTTTGTAAATGTTGAATTAACATTTCACCCCCTCCCTTAGCCACACATAAAGGAAAATAATAAAAACGAAATAAAATACCCACTTTGTCTGACTGGTTATGGCATTGTAGGTTCTCTACCTTAAGAACCTGTCGACGAAAGTCACAGAGGCTGATCTGGCATCACTCTTTATCAGTTTCCAGCATCCTGACAAACCTAAGATTATCTTCAAACTTCTCAAAGGAAGGATGAAAGGGCAAGCTTTTGTGACCTTTGCAGGTAAACTAACGGAAAAAGGGGAATCCTTGATATCTTTTTCAAAGGAATTTCTTTGAAAGTAATATTACTATAATTGAGTCACCATTTCATAAAATTCTGACAGTCCATCAGGACTTCAGAAACAGATTTTCCACCAAAATATAATATATGGCATTCAAGAGCTATACTAGTGCAGTAGAATTATTGGTATAATTACAATGACTTTAAAATATGATCATTTTTTTAATCCAAGTTGATGTTGATCAGAGGAGAAACTTGAAATTTGTTTATTTGTTTTGAGACTAACAGATCAGTTTATTGCAACTTACTTTTAAATCAAAGTTATTTTGTACTAATTGATTGATATGCCATATTTCTTCGAATTTAAGTAGTGTGACATGTACGGTAGATATTGGACAAACTCGTCCAGGGAGATGGCACACTTTTAGCTAACATAGTTTTGTTTTCCAGATGAAAGTGTTAGAGTTCACACACCAGTTTTGAGCATAAAGGCTGCAGGTGGATTGTCAATTTTGTAAGTTTTGAAGTGTTTTATTTCCTGTCATCAGTAAATTTACACACCTCTTGTCTTTCTAGTCTAATGGACCTCTCTTCTTTGCAGACACAGAAATGGCAGTTGAAGCAATGGCACATGCCAATGGTTATCCCTTGAAAGGGAAACCAGTGATCATTCAGTTTGGAAAGCAGAGATGACGGACGACAAGTGACATCATGAGAGTCTTCCCCCAAAATGGTAATTATACACGTAAACTGAAGAGATTGAACTCTGAAAAAGTATTTCCAAGATTATTCAAGGAATTTTTATCTGTGTTTCCCGTGTACATGTATATTGTTCATCTTTTTATTTTACTCACCGTCGGCTTTACAGAATAAAGTGGATAGGTGTACTGAAGCATACAATATCAGGGCAAGATTAGCTCCGTAGTTTTATTTTCAAATCACACAAGCAAAATGAGGGTTGTCTCATTTGGTGTCAAGCGTAGTTGTGATACACAATTTCAATCGAAATTCTGTCTGAATAATGAATAGAAAACTTATACACCAGGGAGTAGTTAATCGCAAAAGCCTTCCCATGATTTATACTGGGCGCTGGAAAAAACATGTTCCTGCATATCAATCTTATTTTTAGGACTTACAATCTTGTCAAGTATTTCATAATTTATCAACTTGAGCTATAGTGGCCTCATATCGGTACATTTGCAAGCATTGGAGTGTCACAATCAGTCATACCCGGATAACGAAGACCTGGATATGGTGTACCTGTAAGATTACACCCCAAGCTTTAATGGGCAAGGTGTTGTAGGTTATCACTTGAGTACTGGTTGCGAATAAACCGGTTCCCTGTGGCAAGTGACCCATGACAATTACTCCACTTGTCCCTCGTCGGCACAGGAATGACCCAAATGCTGTTAAGAGGGTTGGCCGGGAGGGTCTGGGTTCGGACCTCAAGTATCATTGTGAATAATTACCTCCATTCGCGCTTGACCAGACTCTTGAGAAAACATTCCCCCTTGCCAGTCATACTCGAAGCACACTGCTATAAAAAGGACAGGTTGCCATGGAGTTCTGGCTATTGAAGTTACCGCACATAATGGGAATTGATAGTGCTTTGCTCGTACCCTTGGGGCTAACAGTTTTTTATACATGTATGCAAGTCTTCAAATATGTACTAAAAATTTATTAACAGGTCGTAATGGAAGCTTTGATGAGTTATGGCTGAAACCAACAATATTGTCACTGATATTATGCTGTTAAAAACTAATCCTCCTCATCTTTCCAAGCCAAAAGCTTCTGCATTACCGCAAACATGCACATTTCCTACTCGAGTGAGGATAATTTAAATGTTCCTTACGTGGGTTGGGATTGTAATATTTGCTCTGAATTTTGCCCGAGCAAAAATATTTATTTTACATTCAGTCCAAGCATAGAGCACATATGACTTACAGGGCACAGCATTTGTGCTAGGCTTGGGGCACATGTGCAATATATACCATACGGCAATAGGTCAAGTACTCTGTGTTATGCACACCTAGATTCAGGAAGCCAGACTACTAGAGCAATGAATTGTATGGCGATATGCATGACGATATCAATGATTGATTGTTGTTCAAGCCAACTGAAATGGTGCTTTGTGAATGATAAGTATTGTTTGCCACACCAGGCCGTTTGATGTCAAGAGACATCCTGATAAATGCTTACATGTATGTGTTGAATGCCACATTCATAGTTCTTATCAGTACCGCAAAAAAATTGAAAATACATGTAGCTACAAAGCAAAGCCCAGTTACATGGTAAATAACTCCATCACAGCGTAGTATGGCATCTTCAAAATTATGATAAAGGTCATTCTATAAATTAGGGGTCCAGTTCTTTTTCCGTTTCCCTGTCACATCTGACATGATTGTGTAAGTTCAGAACACATTTTCTAATTTCCAAGATTGATGAATTTATGCAAATACCTGCCAAACAAATAGAAATAGTTTGTAATAAATTTTGGTGATATTTCCATGTCAAAGTACACATACAGGTCTGGTGTAACAGGGAAACAAAAATTCACACTTTTGGACCCTGAATTTATAGAATGGCCCGTAAGGCGAATTTTTTGTTATTTTGGTTTTGTTCTGGTTCGCGTATTTTTATTATTGCATGAACCAAATCTGTTTTGAACACAAATATTAATAGGAGTTATGATTAAGAGGAGCAAATTAAATTTGTAAATTACAAGAAAGAACCAGTTTCTCAAGAGAGAAGTTACACTTGTTTATTTGAGTTTGTGTTTCCTTGATAATTAGAATTTTTGTTACCATCATCACTGTTCACTTTCACCACCAGCACCATTCACATTCACCATCCTCACCATTCACATTCATCATCCTCACCATTCACATTCATCATCCTCACCATTCACATTCACCATCCTCACCATTCACATTCACCATCAACACCATTCACTTTCACCATCAACACCATTCACATTCACCATCCTAAATATTCTCATTTACCATCCTCACCATCCACATTCACCATCCTCACCATTCACATTCACCATCCTCACCATTCACATTCACCATCCTCACCATTCACATTCACCACCAGTACCATTTTATTTTCATCGTCACTCTTCTATGTTTTACGTCTTCACTGGTCTTATATTTCGATTTCTGGCAGGTTCAAATAATTTTCCTGATAGTGTGCGTTTCATAGAAACGTTTTCTAGGCATATGTCAATAGCTTAAATTCCTCTTCCGATACACAGAATAACCTACTTAAATGTGTATAAATTTGAACGAACTAAAAAGAAAAGTAATCGTAGATATCAATTCGTGTCACTTTTAAGTGAAATATCAATCACTTAATCAACATCTGTCAATAAACTTCTCCCAAAGTAATTTCGATGCGGTAGTCTCTCAAAAATCCTCTTCACCGATCATATAGTTCAGAATTCAGCGATGTCGTGTCTTTAAGTTGTTCGGTCACGCGCACAACCATACAGCCACGTCAGGACACCCAGAAGTTCCTCACCTTTTCGAAGTCTTAAGCAGGAGTCCAGGTACAACATAGCGTCGTTCCCATCCATTTTTCTTTCCTCGTTCAGACAACCCTTTTGTATATGTTATTGCTCCTTGCCACACATCCGCTAACATGACCATCATCCTCTAACATGATGACCATCACCAGCAGGTGTTTCTGGAGTAGTCTAATCTTTTCCAAAGATGACTGATGACGTACTGACCTTTAATTACTAAAAAGGCCAGACCGAGTGCATGTATTGCCAGCTGCTATCATAGGGCATACTTCGAACGTACCTCAAAGATGAATTCTTTGCAGCTTTCGTGCAGCTTTCAGTCTAGACTAAAGATGAAAAAGGTCATCTTAGTATTCTCCAACTGCGTCGAGATAAAAATGTAAGGGCGTGGCAATTTTAAAGATATGCTTCATTTCTTAAAGCTTATAACTCAACTAATGGCGCTTTATGTAAGAAATTAAACCAAGTTGAAGTTGGAATTTTCATTTTTGGAGGGTATATGACCCTGAGAAATAAAACAGAAGCCACCCGCCCCCCCCCCTTTTGTCTGTTGGGGTTGTCAGTTTTCTGCTATAAACCACGACTGTGTGGGTTTAGAGTTGAGTTATTATGCTAACAGGCGTTGGAGTGAATCGGCCGATTTTTGGCATGCATGATAAAGCACATTGTTGTCGTTTAATAATCGTGAGTGCTGTCTTGGCCCACTGTGGACTCGCACGAGCGTGCGATAAACCCGACTGTACATCCATTTAACTCCTGTAAGGCCTTAACACACACCCTTCGTTGCCATCTCAAGGTTGGATTTTCATTAAGAAAATAAACAGGTTAGGATTTTGAGCTCTGTAAAGGTCAGAGGTGAGTGAGTAGACTCAATTATGCTCTGTCATTGACAGGTTGACGGTCCAAGGTGATAAGTGATGTTTCCATAGTTTCCTAGTTGCCAAAAAGCTTTGTGATTGTCACTTTAAATTTAATTTTTTCCGGTTTAAGTATCCATCCGTTACGTATGTGTGACTGCTTATTATATGCGATGTTGTTTTAAGTCGCATACATTTTGTCCCAGAGTCATTTAAGTCGAACGAACGTGTTTGGGCAATGTTTGTTTGTTTGTTTATTTAAGATTTATTGTACTGAATTTAGAGTTGGTTCGATTTTATTTAGTTGAACTGACTTTAGGATGACTTTAACCTCAGGTTTTTACATCTTCCTCGTGGCAGCCTTTTACTGTCAGCAATTGACAAGTGATTTTAACTTCGCGCATCTCGAAACATCCCAAGGGTACCCACGGAAAACAAATGCCGTCTTTTAAGTGCGATAGGGACACTGAGAGGCAGAAAGAAGCTGCGGTGTTTTTGCCTCCTAAATGATATTATGGTTGGGTCATCCAGCCTATTTAGACAGCTGAAAACGTGCGGAAGCTGCCGAGGACGTGTATCCTCAGGCACCTGCTGAGATTCCCAAGCTCTGTTGCCTCTCACTTCTTGGTGTCTCCTTCATCCAAGCTCTCGGAGGAACAAAGCCCATGCGGCGAAGTATGTGCTCAGGCCTTGTCTTGACCATGTTTTCTTACATTTCCCATGGTCGTCGTCGGAATAGACATTTCGTTCTAAAAGGCTTTTAAATTGTTTGTTTTATCTAAAAATGTGATTTTTGTTTGAGGATGCTATTGAATTTTTGTCTGCGAAATTGTAATGTTTGGCTTATGTGCAGTGCATGCGCCGTGTACTCTTCCCGGAAAGTTCTTCAACTACTTGTGGTATGGACGGGATTTTAACTCAATTGACCCAAAAGGAGGCTACTTTTTTTATAATGACGTTAAAAACTGTTGGTGTGCTGTAATTTCTATTACGCGTTTTTCGTTGTTGCTTTAGTGTGACCTCTATTTTGGCATGAACACTGCTTTAAGCCTAAGGCGTGAGCAAGATCGTTGTACCAAATTATGACAAGGTAGGCCTCCAAATTGGCGTTGACCTGCACGGAACACTATCATGGACGCTAAAACTATGGTTGTACATAAGTTATGTACACCCATTCTAAATTCATAAAATGACAGCAATGTTGGGACTGTCTTAGGTCTTGGTAACCACCTTCTCGTCCAACACCCACTGCCCTTCATCGACTTCGCGACTTTGTTGAGGCTCAAGCCCAGGAGACATACCGATAGCCTTAATCCCGTGTCAAATCAGTGGAGTGCTCTGTCAACCTTTTGTCATCAATTGAAGCCGTCAGAGGGAGGGTTGCGAGGGTTGATTGAAGCCAATCCTGAGAGGAATCACATTTAGCAACTCCTTAGAGAATAGAAGTTCGTATATTAAACTTGTCAGGTAGAGAGGTGGCTTCCTCATCAAAAGGCATCGTCCGAGGAGATGAGACAGTGCCATTTGGGCCAAAGTGATTGCCCTCCGGTTGGTGTTAGTGGACTGATATAGCTGCCGAGGCACTGACAATGTTTAGAGAATTTGATTGTACTCGAAGTACCGTAGTTTGTTTTAATCAGATTAATGTTTATATTCGGTTGTTTCATTTCCTCTGCTTCATTTTGTGACACCTGCAGTAAACTATTTTTCCTGGAAGTTTTTTTCCAATCATTTTATGAAAATCGGGGAATCGTGCGTGTAGATTTGTCACGTGTTGCAGATTAAGATTCCAAACATTTACTTCATTCGTAGTTGAATGACATGAATCAAAGGCATGACTTGCTCTGAAAGTATTGGAAATAGTCTATTTTGATTTGCAAACTTAACCGAAGGTCAGTGCATGCAACACACATTGGGCTTGACTACAGGAATGTGTCTGGATTGGTACTTTTCATTCATTTTCAAACAAACCGTTCTACTATGCACCATATCTTATTTTTATGTACTTTTTGTTCTTTGAAATTTATACATGTATGACTCGGCATCCTTGTTCAAAACCTAAAAAAAAAAGAAAGGAAAAACACTTTATCATTCCAACATATTAATGGCAACATCCTTAAGCATTCAGTGGAGTGGCCCTTACACAATGCATTTCATCGTCTTAGACAATCTTGACTTTACCTTAGAGGGAAAATCCTGTCTCCTTTTGCTCCTTGAGGTTGTCTCCTTAAAGTACATTCAGTACAGACGGATTGACCGTCTCTTTTAACGCTAGAAATCTCTGCATAAATTCCACAATTCATTAAAAATTATTACATTGATTGTGGTGGCCTAATTTAGAATCGATCTGTTCCGTGGAGGAGTTGGAGTTATTTTGACTGGACTAGAAGAACATACCCCGATCCTCTCTTGGTCAAAGATTTCCACTGGCTCCGGTTACGTGATGGGAGTTTGTTACGTGGTAGTTACGCCATCGAAATGTTTCTAATTAAATAGTTTCACCTGATGTTTATGTTGACAAGTGAGTTAAGATTTTTAATGATCCTCTTGATTGAATGAAAAGGTTGGAGAACTCTGCATCTGTGCAAATTCGTTGAACACCTAAAAGGATACCTAACTTGGAAATACTGAGGCATATGGAGCTAGTCATTAGATGGATCATGTTACATCGATCTGCGTTATATCTTGAACTTTCTTTCCCTCGCATTTGATACATACCTGCGTCATGTAGAGAGTTAGTTTCCTTTCAAGTTCTTTTCAAGGTCGCAGGCTGTGGTACTTATCGTCTCATTTTCAGAATGACTTTATTGGCGTTGGAAGTGACGTCTTTGTGCCGAGCACAGTGAACACGAAGAGAATGGGGTACCAGCCACAGTGCAGGGTACCAAATGGCTTGTGTCTGGTTACCTGTTATTTCTGCTTTAACGGCTTATGACACCGACCTCAGGTGATACACTAACTCGTTTATGACTCAGCCTTGGCCGATCACCTATGAAATTACTATCAATTCCTTGTGCAACAGTATGTTACCCAGAGCACTTTGATCTTGGCCGGTATCTGTTGTTATATTTAAACGAGATTGAGATAGTACATGTATCTTCAAACTTCACTCCATGGCTTGTCCTCATTTTATAGCAAGCAAATCTAATTATCATTGTATTACTTGTCAGCATGAGTCCGTCGTTCCACAACCATTTTTCCCAGAATGTTACAGACCTGCATTTTTGTCGTCGGTGTTGATATTGCAGCTATGAGAAAATGAAAGACGTTGGTTTCATGGTGTGAGGATTTAGCTTCTACAAAATCCACACCAAGTGCGTGCATGCAGGCGCATGTGGCACGAACACAACTATGTCTTGGGTACGTGTCATTTTTGCACGCGACATTAGGATTTAAAACCACACTTAGGCCTGCGTATCATATGTGTGCCTTAGCGATTGTATGACAAAGGTGTTGCTGCCTGATATATATACTGACCCCAACTACCTGTTTCTCATCAAACCAACTTGTCTTTGCCCTGTCCACGACAAGATTCTTCTCTCTTGAATTTAATAGTTCTTAGTGGTTGTCTCCCTATAATCTTCGATTTTGTGCCCGCAATCCATTAGGGAGTACTTTTGTTGGCATGGCAACCAGGCCAGATTTCTGCCGAGATTGTCGATTTTCATTTTGACCGCTGTGTCTTTGACCCTCATGGTAGCTCAACTTTATCCTTGGATTGCTAGTGGCCATTCACCATGCAGTAATCCCCCACCCGGTTTCGTTTGAAAATCTTTTCTTACAAAGTATGTTGTGCGTCAAAAGCGTTGATGTCAGATTTTTGGATGCTTTTATCTTCTGTTGGACCTATTGGGCGTAGAAAGCCTACAAGTTAAAGTCAACGCTGATGTTTCTTTGCATCACTAATCTCGCATCTTTGAAGTCTATCACGTCCCCTGGCGGAGCAAGTTGAAAAGTTCACCCACTCCCGTGATATCTGTGAGTGACATTGACCCTAACCAACACAGACGCACAAAGATATATATTTATCTCGAAAATCAATCAGGCTTTGCTATGAAACCGGAGAAAACTCATCTTGTCCCGGACAAAGCTCTGTCAGCATCAAAATTTGGAATAGGTCTGTTCTTCGAAGGAGCTCCTCGTCGACAGCACTTATAGTTCATCTCAATCTGACTCCCGGGGTTCAACCAAATCTAATCTAATGGCAGCTTTAAAAATAAACCGATCTTGACCGGTAAAATTAACCATGGCCGAAGGGACATACAAGACGGCCCGATGAACATCATTTTGGAGGGCAGTACACTGCCTTTCTATCACTAGACTTTTGACTAGAAAACAAACACTTGGTAGAGCTAACAACCTGTGATTGGCTGCGAGTATCGTTTCTTAAGTGCATTAAAGATGGAAATAAAAATTATGAGCAAAGGGACAATTACTTTCTTGGTTAAGTAGTATTTCCAATTCCTAAATAGGCCCTGAGGTGGACCACGAGAGAGCGCAATTGTCCTGGTTCATGACCGTACTTATGAAACGCAAGCTTTGCAGTCACATCGCTATCAAGAAAATGGACACTCCCCGCCAATATGGCTCTTGTCAATCGATGAGGGGGTGCATCTGCTCAAGGCGGGTAACTTTGGCTAGTTTCATCGAAGTAATTGTTTGCTGTCTTCCGACTTCATCCATAAACATATCCTGTGCCTATTTATTTTCAATTTCTTCTTTTCAATCATCTCAAGGGATGTACCTACCTGAGCACTCTCGTTTCTCCGCACATTGATCTCGTTTGACATATCTTATGGCTTGTCTTGTATATGTATTTGCATTGTTGGCGCTATTTGACTCTTGTAGGGTGGATTAAAAAATTTGAATCAAGCATAACCTTGTGCCCCTCACAGAAAATCCAAATTTGTCAAGCTCATGAAAAGTTCATCCCTGTGTTTATTTTAAACCGAGTTTTGTTCGAGTTTCTCTTGAACTGTCACTTTTCTTGTCTTGTGTGCTGTAATGCGCACTTTTCACAATATTTTCACCTTTCTTTTAACCACTTACTTACCCTGAACATTAAACTGTAAACATTCTCGTTCGTGTTCCTGTACTATGCTGTCTGGGTAATGCACACCAGACGTTTATACGTTTCGTTCTTCCTCGTTCTGTGTTTTTTAGCTTACAGTCCCTATATTATGAACCCTTCATCCTGTGATTGCATATTTCTTATTTGTTTTTCTTCCATTCTACGAAACAGAAATCTGTTGCTAGCTTTAGCTCATCTCCCGCTGGTGTCTTCTTCATCAATATCGCCATCATCATCAGTAGATGTGGCATCATCACTTTCGTCAACGTTAAGTCTTTAGTTCCAAGTCAACACGACAGTGCTCCAGGTCTACAGATTATTGGAAACATTCTGACCCTTCTTCTCATCAATCAAGGTTGGTGTTTAATCATACTCAGTAGGACGGTGGCCCGTGTTTCCTGCCCTCAATAAGCCTTTTGCAGGTTAAATTTGAATAAAATCTGGTACACTGAGTTCTTGACATTCATGTGAATTCTCCACACTAAAGACACTGTTGCTATACCGCATGATTCGGGGCAAGCTTTTGCTTCGTTACATAAGTGACACCTTGCAACAATTCCCCTTTTTAATGAATTAGTAGGGCACAAATGATCAGTCCATTCCAGAGAGGGTGGTCGCTATGCAAAACTTGCCCCAGTCACGAGGTATAGCAACAGTGTTTTTAGTCCAGGAGATTCAAACTGTTACACATTGTATTTATGTGCAATCAGATAACTCAGTGTATAAGATTTTATTCAAATTTAACTCGCAAAAGGCTTATTCACACAATCCAATCTGGCCGCTTTCGTTAACCAAACATTTGCCGTTAAGTCACTGAAGCTGTTCTATTTTCACCACGTCGGCCGTTATTTCCCTTGCAAACATATTATATGCGGGAAAAATGGCATTGTTGGCGTCAAGATCCATGTATTGATCAGAACAGAATACGTCACGCGTTTTGTTCATTTCATTGTCAATATTTGCATTTATAGTATTAATTATCGATGATCTGTAATGTCTTTTGCCATAGTCCGATGAGTACTTGTTGTCAAACATGTAAGACTCAACAAATGAAAAATGGTATCTCGGTCAGTGATTAGAAAGATGTGGTGAGAAATCGCATGGTATCTGTAGCAGTCTCCATAGCGACGAGCAGCTCGATGTTCAGAGCATTCGTTTGAGAAATTGAAAAAAAATCGTTTGAGCAAGTCTACCCGCTTCCTCTTCCGCACAAGGCTGCTCATTTCCTATAGATCGTGTTCGGAGGATGCCAGGAGGTTAGGGGGCGCCGCCCCAGACCAGCCTGATAGTCACGGTCTCCCCATTTGAACCTTATCCGGTTTCTCTGCGTTGCAATCTCCAATCCATCATCTTCCCGGAATATCTTGACCCCCGAACCGTATTGATATCACAAGAAGTCCCGGTTACCATCGTGGATGGACACGCCAAGTCACGTAACGCCGCTTAGACCCTGCAGATGGAGACTCTTCAGTGGCTATTTTGCTGAATTTGTCTCTTTCGACATGTGGCCTGCTGGATTCAATGTCATACGACGGGATTTCTGCAGTTGATAACGCTGCACAGGTGTATCCCCTTCGGAGAGGACGGAGACGGGTATAGATCATTGGATTGACTGTTTGTAGTTTCCTGAGGGTCTTCCTTTATACGGGTACCTGCTATAAGGCCATTCTGTCGTCAGTTTTGTAATACTAGATAGGGAGTTTGTCTCTAATGAATTTCTAATCAATTGTGGTAATGGGCTGGGTGATGTGTAGATCTTTTTTACGCTCCTTTCTGTTCATGTTGGAGAGATGCGCAGTCGATATTTTTTGTGCCGAAGTCGTCTTTTTATGATAATCGTCCGGAGTTCTATTTGGATGTCGTTGCAATTGTTGTAAAGTCGTTGCAATGAAAAGAGTCAACCACTGGAAAATGACCAAAACAGTTGATAGGCCTATACTGACAACTGGCAATGTCATAAATAACCAAGGCGAAGAGTTACTTAAAAAAAAAGGAAAATGTTGGCACGTGTGCCTGTAGATTAATTATAGTGTCGCTGGCAATAGCAAAGAGCATTCGTCTGAGTAGCCTCGAGAATGGAATATAAACAAATAAAATGATTATTGGTCTGATGATGTGTCTACCCCATCAACTTACGTAACATAAGCTTGTCCAATGGATCGCACCGTTTGTGCGGTAAAAGACCATGCACAATGATACAAGATACATGCACATTGAACTGAAAATTGTGTTTTCATTCGTTGTACCTGATGATTGAAATTGTAATCCGACACAAATTTTGTGATTTCTGAATATGGAGACTATTCCCTGGCAATTTGTGCAGCATTATGTATACCTTCTCTGGGAATTAGTCTCCATAAGCATCAGCATTATGTTCATGCGGAGAAGCTTCACGATGGCGTCAGTCTTGACTTCTATCCGATGATAAGCCAAGGTCTCTACAAAATCGAATTTAATCACTGTATTCCATACAGTAGAAGAACCCGTCGAAGAGTGAGGCGAGGTGCAAGACCCACAAGAGACTGGACTGGAGTCAGGATAATACCCTATTGAGCTCAGGCTGGAACAAGAACCACCAAAAGATCAGAACCAGGAAATGATTATGTTAAACCCTCTCCCCTCAAATGCTGGAGAAAAGACACGGCTCCAGGTTCAAAAGAATGGACATTGAGCTTCTCCATGCTCATGTGATTAAGACAAACGTCAATTGTTGGAATCTTTGTCGAGAGCAAATATACCTATGCATCAGTCTATTTAGCCTGTTTGCTGTGACTCAGTAACAGATTTATTTCATCCATATGATTTTCCCAAGCTCGTCCGTATTCTCTCATTTCCTTTTCCAATCAACATCGTGATGCTCACCGTCAATAGAAGATGGACTATATATCTACCTCCTCATAAAAAAATCATTTCCAGAACCGATTTAGTTGCTAATGGTCTCTGACGTTGGTATAAATGGTGTGTTGTAGTTCAAGGAGTGAAGATCTGATAACTCGTCTAACAACTAGGCAGTAATGTAGAGTCATGTCTTCCCTGGTAGCACTCACTTCTTGAATGTTGAGTGTTGACCCTTTGGTGAGTGGGAACCAGCTACATTTGGCGTCCAATCAGATCATGCATTTATGGGACACAAAGATTTGGCAGCAAAGATACCGTTTGGTTTCATTTGCTTATTTTCAAGCAAACGTATAGCCTTCCAACGGTTTATCAGGGTCGTCGGCAACATGGTTTTCATTCCAAATACAAAGAATTTTTATCTACAGTAGAACTGTCACATTGGCCTTGCCTCTGTTTGCAGCCTCGGGTGTTTAGCCATCCTACCCCTTGCCTCGGCGAGCAATATACCCACTCGATATGCGACCATTCTGTGCTCAACCATGGGTTTGTAGCTCTATAGCTCAACTAGCTTTACCGGGGCATACGTCCAACCGCTACCGCATGATAACGGTGTAACTTTACGCTTAACCAGTCTGCTCAAAATACACCATTAGTGGTCATTACTGAATGTCCAGGCACCGAGACAGTACCGGTCAACTCCTAGCCTGGAGTCCATACTGTGACAACCCCTATCTATCCTTACCTATATCAACTGACATTTTCAATTTGGTTGGTAATCAAGCTAACTTCCTGTCGCCTACGTGTCGTAACCGAAACTGTGGCATTGCGCTCATGCAGCGCGCCCTATGGGCTTGCCAACAGCCGCAGCTGGTGTATGGATAGTTATCGCCTACCGGTACTGCCCACAATGAGAAAACACTCTGCTCATCATTCCGCCAGGAATCTGGAGTACTTCATTTTTTGAAAACCCTGGATATACATTTAGTAAGACTATTTTTTTCTGCCGAGGCTCCCAATCAGATTGCGTTAGGATATTCTGAAGTATTGTTGCGAACTAATGTCATCTACCTGAACAGGCGCCTTCTATGGGAAAGGTCACTTGCCGCATGCTTAAGCTTCGGGTGTTGAGTTTTGCGCGTAAAATGCAAATACATGTTTACCTGCTGACGCCCTCGTGCCAGAATTTCACAGATAAGCTTCATAGCCAGTATGGTTGTGGACTGCTCATGGAAATAGACCTACCTGTCATCATTATTAACTAAAAGTAGTTTAAAACTTCCAGGAACCAGATGTAGCAGGGGTATAAGAATGGTCTTGTCTTGAGATGCTTTGCAATACTTACTAATGTTTCCTTTTGAAACCTCAATTATCGTCTGTTCCCCTTCGTTTTTCGATCCTGTCCAAACGGCAGTCCGAGTCGTTTGCAATCCAAACATGATGGCATTCCTTCATCATTTTCCTATGCTTCTTTCTCTGTTTGTGTATTTAATTCAAGTGTCTCCACACTCATTTATTTTCATTTCTAGATCCTCACCCCTGCAGATAGAGTCCACCGCGCTGCTACAGTTTGTATCTATATATAATTTGGTGTAATTTACCCGCTAGGGCCATTCGTGTTGGCTGTATCAGTATAAGAGAAAACACGCGCATCACTGAGGGCCAGGCTCGTGGGGTGTTTATGCTTCTGCACAATGAATAATCCCACCATTAACTATCTTGCCATCTTCAACTAACCCTCTGTCATCTTGACAAGCTACATGCAGAGAACCCGGCGAGGTAGGTACACTGTGGTTCCGAAGCGCGCATCCATGTCATGTCATCCTTGTACACCGTCCACGCTTCAGGGCGTCTCACACCGCCCTGTAGGCCTTATCTGTGAAAGTTCCGGCGGTCATGGACGGAGCTTCACCTCAGCGATTAATTCAGCATGCTTGGATCAGGCACATACACGAAACGGATGTGACAATGTTCGCTGTCTTGTGCTGCAAATGATACTCCAAGAAACTACGATTTCATCTTGCTGCATTATGATAATTATCTCAAACGTTTCAATTCTTGGTATTGCCACACACTCTGAAGATTTAGCTTGACTGCATTAGATTGGCAAATGCAATAACGCTAAAATCTGAAAGTTTATTGTTTGGTTTAAAGTTTTGCCTGTTAAAGAGAATATTGTTCTGGTCTGACACAAATCTAGAGATATATTATGGAAAGGGTATTAATTTCTATGAATTTCATGACCACCAAAAGATTGGTTAACAGTATATATTTCTAACCTTCCGTTGAGGGCCAGGACCATGATACAAATTGAATTCATGGACCATATCCGTCATGATGAATCATTAGACTCTTTGCGATTGGTCGGCTGAAGGTGATGATACGAACGAATAAATGAGAATCCTTTTGTCTTTTTCTGAAAGTATAAATGTACTAATTTTCAATGTGCTGTGCTAAATTACCTGTACGGTACAAATACGGCTCCAACATAATACTAAATTTCCTTAATAAATACTATTA